CCGGGCTGGGTTCTTTCCCAAGACCGGAGGAGGGAAGAACTGGCAGGCGGAGGAGGAGGAAGTGGAGCCCCGAGTGTGCCCTTTGCCTTGGCAACGGGACCGCGAAGGCTGCGGGTTTTGGAGCTTGGACTCAGGTCCTCTGGGGCTGTGGGGAGGGAGAGACCCACTTCCCAAACAGCACCCCAGCTCCGGAGAGGATTTGATGGGGCCGCCGACCTGCCCTTGGGGTGTGGGTGATGAGGGGTGAGGGGAGTAGGTAGAGGAGCCGGGGTGCTTTCTGAGCTGGGCTTAACCTGGGAGGAGCGTTGGCCCACGGGCACCATTTCTGGTTAGCCACCCTGCTCTGGTGCAAACCCCTGCATGACCTTGGGTGGAACCCTTCCCACAGGGCTCAGCCTCCTCCTCTGTAACCCGAGGGGCTCTTCTGGAGATGGCTTCAAAGGTTCCCTGTCCCTCAATCCTGCTCTGTGACCTTGGGCAAGTCCCTCATCTGATACACCCAGAGTTGTACTGATGCCTGCCCTGCCTCCCTGCCGGCTGCGAGTGTCCAATGAGAGCGTGGCTCCTTTGGAAACTTGTAAACATCCCTGAAAGATTAGGGATCTGGTGGACAGAAGGGTTGGCCTCGGGGGACCTTCCAAGAGCCCTATGCTGGACCAGGTGCCCCTCAGCATGTGCCCACAGTGACCCCTAATTATGGGGAGAGAAAAGGAGTTCAGACAGGATAAATTGTTCACCCCATCTGGAAAAGGCAGGGGTGGAGTTTGAACCTAGTTCCATCTGACCTCAAAGCCTATTGCACTGTCCTGCCTCTGCCCGCTCCCTCCCTCCCTCCCTCCCTCCCTCGCTTCCTTCTTCCCTGCAGTCCCTTCCCGTACCTGTAATGAGAGGTTGGCTGGGAGGACCAGGGGTAGGCTCATACTTCTCTCACCACCAGTACCCTCCTCTCCCTAGGATGAGACTGGGGCCTACCTCATCGACCGTGACCCCACCTACTTTGGGCCCATCCTGAACTTCCTCCGACATGGCAAGCTGGTGCTGGACAAGGACATGGCAGAGGAGGGTGAGTTGCTCCAGGGGGCTGGCCTGGAGCCCACACCCTAGTCCTGCTTCTGCAGCCTGCTGTTGCCTTCCATGGAGGCCTAGAGCCATTTTTGCCAGCCAGGTTGGATACCTACTTTCTCCCTTGTGGTCAGGACTAATTCTCAGGGTCTCTGCTGAGCTTTCACTGAATGAATGTTTTCAGGGAAGGTTACAGAGACACACACCGAGGATGGAGGAAGCCAGTAATGCCCTAGGGCCTCTTAGGGGCCCTTTCTCTGGCCTCCTGGGAAGCCAGGTGTGGATGGTCACACCCAGAGGCAAGGAGAGGGATGGGTGGAGGTGGGCATGAGAAAGGCTTGGGCTTCTTTCTCCGGGCAGTCCAGTATCTCAGATGCTGCCTGGCAAGGGCTGGCAGGCAGCAGGTGGGCGGAGCGGGTGCCTCTTCCCCAATCTGGCAGCCTCTGCACACAGCACTGGTTGTGGGTGGAGGCGGGGAGGGTGCTCTCTGGGAGGGCTTTGGCTCTCCCAAGCCTTCAGTGCACACATCTGGGCCTAGCAGACAGTAGGGAAGCCAAGGCAGGGAGGACAGTCCCTTAGCAGAGCCCAGCCGGAGCCAAGGACTACAGTCAGTACCGAGTCAACTTTCCTCAGAGCACTGCATGTGGCTCAGGTCAGCTGACCCAGCAGAGCCAGCTAGGACACGTCACTTTTCTCTGCTTCTCCACTGGTGTGTCTAAAATGGGGCAGTGGCCTGCACTCTGAGAGCACATGCTGGTCACAGATGTCGAGTCCTATGTCCCTGTGGGTGTTGGCACAGCCCATCTCATCTTTCTCCACTGGGCCGTGCTCTCCCCTCCCTGACCCCCAGGTAGGCCAAGTGACTCCCCAGTAGGTCAGGGCTTCAACACCGAATGCCCAGCTCTGCTGAGCCCAGCAGCAGTCTCCCTGGGAGCCCAGGTGCTATGGGCGTAGCCCAGAGCAGATCCCCCAGGGGAGTGAGCTGCGTCACAGCCAACACCTGTTTACAGGTTCTGGGCCTCTCAAAGCCCTACTACCGCCAGCACCTTCAGACAGGGTGAGGGCCCCCTCAGGCAGATGGGAGACCTGGAAGGGGACTTGGTGAGCCATATGACTGGGAATGTTACTCAACTCCTCTGTGCCTCCCTTTCTGTAAAGTGAGGGGACGGCAGCTCCCACCTCACTGGCCCCGATACTGCACACTGCAAGTCTGGATGTCTCATCTGTCACCTGTTCCAGGCAGCAGCACTCACTGACTGCCCCTTCTGTGAGGTCCCACGTGTGCATTGGGAAAGCAGGGGAGATCAGAAAGGGGTCCTGATACAGTTCATTCTGGCTTTGACCACAAAGTACTGTAGGTTGGGTGACTTATAAACCATGGATATTTATTTCTCCCGGTTTTGGAGACCGGAAGTCTGAGATCACCATGCCTGTAGGGTCAGATTCATGGCCATGACCTGGCCAACTAATTCCATAGGGGGCCACCATCCTCATGATCTTGATCTTGTCACCTCCCACAGATCCGTACACCTCCTAATACCATCACATTGGGCATTAGATTTCATGGTGTGAATTTTGGGGAAACATAGACAGTCCATAATAGATGTCCCTCAGGAGTCCAGAAGCCAGTCTAAGAAAGGACCAGAAGGTCCTCTGTACTACAGTGTAAGAATCCAACACTGGTAGCTCCTGCTTTCTTACATATGTGGGTGACTTGCTTCATCTCTCAGGTTTTGTAAAATGGGACCGTGACAGGTGCTCTCCCTTTAGGATGAGCACAGGAGGCTCTGCAAACTTCTGTAAAGGACTGTAGTTGGGGGCTGCACGAACAGGAATATATGTGTTTGTAGTGGGCAAATATGGGATAAGAAGGCTGAGGAGCTTGAGATTTCTCTGCAGCATACTGGCTTTGTGACCTTGGACAGGGTGCTCCTCTTTCTGAGCCTCCATTTCCCCAGTTCGGGGAGATGATGAAAGTACCCACTTCTAGTTCTGAGAATTCAGTGTCATAAAGAACGTCACGTTCTGAGCACAGAGGCCTGGCACTCAGCGCATGTCTGGCAAATGGTAGTGTAGCAGGCTGGGCCTGGACCTCCTCCTCCTCACAGTGCGCTCAGGGACCCAGCCCTCTCATAGCCCTGGACAACCCCGATGATGCTGCAGCCGGGTCCTGTGCTCAGTGCTGTGGAGAAGCAGGGCAGCAGCTCACCCCTTCCCTGGGGAGTATGGGACCCCCAGAAGGAAATGCTCCCTCTTGCCTGACCCCTAAACCCACAGATGCACAGCTCACCCACTGAGGTTGTATGACCAGATCAGGGAGTGGATTTGCGGACAGAAGGGACAAGGGGAAATGAGGCATGGGCAGCAAGACTGACAGGCTGCTCTGCCAGGGGTCCTGGAGGAGGCTGAGTTCTACAACATCGGTCCACTGATCCGCATCATCAAAGACCGGATGGAGGAGAAGGACTACACGGTGACGCAGGTCAGGGCAGAGGTCACCCAGCCTGGGGGTGGGTCAGGTGAGGAGAGGAAGGGAGGCTGGGGAGGGCAGAGCATCTATAGGGGAGGGTGGCTGCAACATGCTGCGTTCTGTCACTGCCTCCTCCTTTTGCTGTGTGACCTTGGGCCAGTCGTCTCCCTCTCTGGACCTTGATTTCCTCTCATGGAATATGGAGGCGCTAGAGTTGCCAACCCATCCCTTCCTCAGAGACACCAGTCTGTGGGAGGGGATGGAGTTCTCCCCACCCTGGGATGTGCAGGGCTGCACAAGGGAGTGAGGGAGTGACCCTACCTCGTCACCGCAGGGTCTGAAGAAGGGAGGCTCAACTGGTGACCAGATGTTCCCCGGTCTCTGCCCTCCCTCCCTCTGTGTCTCCTGTGTTCCACTTCTGGCTCTGCCACCCTTGAGCCCGGTCACCTTGGATAAGTAACTGAATTTTGGTGAGCCTCAGTGAAAAATCCCATAATGCACAGGGTCCTGGAAGGATACGTATTCATTCAGAGCATGCTCCCTCCCTGCTCTTCTTCCTCTCCTGTCCTCCTAGGGTACATGGTGTGGGAGGTGGCAGCTGCCCTCCATGTGACCCTTCTGCCCACAGGTGCCACCCAAGCACGTGTACCGCGTGCTGCAGTGCCAGGAGGAAGAGCTCACTCAGATGGTCTCCACCATGTCTGATGGCTGGCGCTTCGAGCAGGTGGGCTGGGGACACAGGGGCACCTCGGGGAACATGGGGCCTCTCCCCTGCAGCTCAGCCTTGGGGTCCCCACCCCAGCCCCACCTGGAGACTTCTGAAACCAAAGCAGCAAGGTTTGAGGTCCCTCCTGGTGCAATGGCAGGAAAAAAGGACAGAGCCCCAGAGTCCTCTGAAGCTGCATCAGACATGAGTGAGGTTGCAGCCCCAAGTGAGTGACTACCCAGGTGCAAGGAAATGAGGGCTACTGAGGTGAGGGCACTCACCTTGGTCCACACCTCTGTAACAGTTCCATAGGCATAGTCCCCAGGGCCCCAGGAAAATGGCCCTATTAATTTCAGGGGAGCCCCATGCAGGCTCCCAACGAGGGCCACATGGGGACCTGTGGTGCCTCCCAGGCCAGATGCCTTCATCAGCACATAGTGACAATCCCACCACAAGAAGGGCTCTCCCCTAGCACTTCTGTCTAGTCCTGCAGGGCTGTAACACACCCTGCCTGGGCAGGATTCCACACTTGGCCTTAGTGTGGTGCAAGCTGCCTGAAATAAAACCTCGAGGTCTTGCAGGCTCAGGGAAGACACAGAGCAATCCCAGGTTCCAACCCCTGTCCTTCATCCCAGCTGGGGGCCTCCTGGGCCACCACCTCTCCAACCACTGCCACTAGCTGGGTGATAGTTTCTTCTCTGCCTGCTGAAAAAGGGTCCCTAAGGGCCAGATGGGACCAATCAGCAGCCAGGACCTCTTTAGCCGGAGGGCTGCATGGGTGTGGCTGTGCTAGGGACCTGGGACAGGAGTCTCTGGCAGTGGCCCAGCCCTCAGGGACAGAGCAAGCAGGTGAGGACCCCTGGCCACTTGTCCTCTGGACCAACACCTGGCCGCCTGCTGCACCTCTTGCCAGGAGGGAAGCCAATGTTCCTTGGGGCTCCTCCATGCCAGCCCAGGCTGCAGTCGAGAGTGGGTGTGACTGGGCTCAGGGCCAGCTGGGCCCACAGAGGAATAGGTAGGAAGGGAGGTGTCCTGGAAGCCGGGAGCCCCACCCCAGCAGCTGGGTGAGAGCAGAGCTAAGATGGTACCCAGCCTCATCTGTCCCCCGCGCTCCACCCCCAGCTGGTGAACATCGGCTCCTCCTACAACTACGGCAGCGAGGACCAGGCGGAGTTCCTGTGTGTGGTGTCCAAGGAGCTGCACAGCTCCCCAAACAGCCTGAGCTCAGAGTCCAGCCGCAAGACCAAGGTGAACCCGCCTACTTGAGCCCATACCCCTACCCGCCCCCTCGCCATCCCGCCGCCGCTGCTTTTTCCCTCCTGCGGCACCTACATAACCCCATGGTCACAGCCCATGCCATCCATCCCATGCCACATGGTCCTGTCTGCGCGCACCAGTTACGCCGGCCCAGGCTGGGGAGCAGTGAGATGGACCCATCCCCAGGGTGCAGCCAGGGGCACTTAGTGCCCCAGGATTGGGGCCACATGCCAGCCAGGGGTGTTGTGGCATGAGGCAGAGTGGCTGAACTGGGGGACAGGGCCTGGCATGACACTCTGTGTGACCTGGAACAAGTCCTGTCCCCTCTCGGCCCCTGTGTAGTGTGCAGGGTGTACTGTGGCTCGTGCCTCGAGCCTGGGCCCTGGGCTCCAGATGGATAAGTGATTCCCAAGGGGTGGTGAATGTCCCTAGTCCTGCCCATCCCAGGCCTCTTCCTTGCGGGCTGCTTTGCACAAAGGATGTCAGGAACCCTGGGGACCTGGCCCGGGAGTGCTGTCCTGAGGGAACACCTGGCAGCACTGTAGACGGGTAGAGTGGGCTCCTGCTCCTGGACCTGCGTTGGCTGGAAGCCCCCGGGGCCTCTGGTGAACCTGGCAGAGCAGGCCGAAGCCATGCTGAGAACAGGGAGCCTGTTCCTCCTGGGGACCTGTTCCTCTGCACTGGAGGTTTAGAACCTCCAGCTTCCTGTCCTGCTGTGACTCCCTGTCCACCCCAATCCCATGGGTGCCAGCTGCAGGCACTGCCTTGCAGGACTACAGGGTGAGCCCACCCTCTTCCTCCATGTCACCAGGCACTGCTGCTGGTGTTCCTGACCTGGCAGGCGTCTGCCCTGTGCTCCCTTGGCCTCCTATTCTGAATCTGCCTTCCCAGAGCAAGGTTGCGCCAGGTGCCCTTGCAGACACCCAGCCGTGCCCCCCACTCCTCTTCCACCTCTCGCCCCAGCCCCTGCATGTGTGACAGGCTGACCTGAAACGTCCCAGCCCCAGCCTAGCTGGCTGCTACCCCAAGCTGCCCTGGGGGCTGGAGAGGATGCCCTTAGCTTGTGTGGCTTTAACCCTCTCTCCGGAAGTGCCCTTCATCCTGCCTGCCTGCTCTGGCCTGAGATCGGGGTCCGTGGGGACAGCTGCCCTGGCCCCTCGTTAGTGTCTCCACTCTCTCTTCCCTGGGTCTGCCGGCGGCCACAGAGCGCGGAGGAGCAGCTGGAGGAGCGGCAGCAGCAGGAGGAGGAGGTGGAGGAGGTGGAGGTGGCACAGGTGCAGGTGGAGGCAGATGCCCAGGAGAAAGGTGCAGCCCACCCCCAGGAGGAGGATTGCTAACAGCCGAGCGAGCGAGCGAGCGGCCCTCCGCCCTCTCCCTGCTGGAGCCAGCTGCGGCCGGCAGGCCGGGCCATGGGGGGCGGGCCGCAGGGTTAGCTCAGTGCCTGGCACCTGGCCGCCTGCCCGCCTGCATAACCATCCCTTCTCTCACTTTCTCTTTGCAGCCCAGTCATCTCAGGATCCCGCTAACCTTTCCTCCCTCCCACCACCGCCTCCTCCGCTTCCCGCTGGAGGCTCCGCCTCATCTTCATCCACCTCCTCTTCCTCCTGGACCTCATCTGCACCCTGCCTCCTCCCTCTCTGCCCCTGTCCGGGTTTCCTCTCTGCCTGCTCGCACCTCCATTCTGGGACTGCCCTGGTCCCGGCCCCCCGTGCCCTCTACCCAGGCCCCCCAGCATCCTGCCTGCTGCCACCTCCTACGCCCCTCCTTGTCCCTCCCACCTCCCAGCCTGGGGAGGAGGGGCACAGCCGTGCTTTCTGTGTGCCCACCAGCCCTGCCACTGCCACTGGGCACCTCTGAGGCTGGCCTCGGCCCTAGGCACCACTCCGCCCAGCTCCTGCCACCGCCACTGCTCACCTCTCCTCCTTGCAGGCCCACATCCTCGCCCTCCCAGACCCGAGCTGCTCCCCGGCCCCATGCCTGCCCCAGAGCTGTCATCGCAGTTGGCAGCCCGGTGGAGCTGGAGGGGAGGGTCGGAGCCAGGAGGGTGCACATCTCTGGTCCTTGGACTGGGGCCCAGAACTTTCTTCCCACTGACTGTCTACCCACCAAAGTTTCTCACCCTGTCTGGGCCTTGGGGTGAGGCTCTGAGACCAGAAAGTCAGGAGGTGGGGCCCTTTCCTGTCTGCCCGCCAGCACCTGAGCCAGGCTAGGGGAGGGAGAGCCAGGACCCCTCGCCTTGGCCTCATCCCCAAGAGCTCCCGTCACCATGGGCACTGGGTCCCCATTTCTGTGGGGTGGGGAGGCCAGGTTACACGTGGACACCCTTGACCAATGAGGACACAGCCAGAGCCAGTTAAGGATGGGACTGCAGCAGAAAGCCCTGGCCAGGTGCCCACTCAGTCTTATCTGCCAGCTGTGTAACCTTAGGCAAGTCTGGGCTGCATTTGGTTCTAAAATGGGGACAGCTGCTGTGTGATTCCCTTTCCTGGGACGGCAGTGACTTGCCTGTCCCAGCCCTGTCCCCACCAGAGTCCCACCTCTCCAGGCAGTTGTCACCAGCCCAAGCTGGGCACGGGGCTTGGGATGGGTTCGTTGGGCGCCCCTCCCACCCTCTCCTCGGTTCTGACTCCGTCTTCTCGGGGCCTCAGCCCCACTCTTCCTCCAGAAGCAGCCTGTAACTCACCTGCCTCTCTCTCTCCCTCTCTCCTCCCCTCTCCCCTTCACTCCTCACCGGCCCTGGTCTTCTGACCCCTCCTCTCCTCCTGCCCCTTCCCCCTCTTATCTTCTAGCTATTACAAGCCAGAGGCACCCGGATGTGAGGCCCCAGATCACCTCCAGGGACTTGGGGTTACGATCTGAAATCTTTTATTTTTGTACCACGGGGTGGGCCCCTGGCCCCAGAAGGAAGAAGCACTCTCCCCGCCGCCACTTGTGTCTCCACCTGTGGGGCTGTGACTTAGCCCTGCCTCTGGCAGCAGGCTGGGGGCCTCCTAAGACCTCACGAGGCCTATGGTGGGCCCTTGGCCCTCTGGGCAGAGCCACCTGCCCCTGGCCCAAGTGTGGCATTGTCCAGCTGTGTCTGCCAGGCCTCATTGTCCCTTTGCCCAGTCCCCCCTGCTGCATGGCAGATGCACTCCCTCCTGGCCCCGTCACATCACCTCCTTGAGCCTCAGTTTCCCTGTCAGTGGGGTACCCCTCCTGCCCACCTCACAGGGTTGTTGTGGGGTACAGCAAGAAGCAGAGTCCCTGAAAGCCCACAGGAGTGGGGCTGCCCTCCCTTGTCTTCCCCAGGGGAGCCCGGCCTAACCCCGAAGCCTGACACTGTTGGCTACTAGATTTGGGTCTTGGGCGTCAGGGTGTGGGGATTCAGCCCTTTCCAAAGGAAGGGGTAGGTGACTTGACCCTCACCTTGGCCGTCCCCATGCCCACCCAAGCGCGTGGCTGCAGGACACCCTGCCCCGCCAGCAAGGCCAGGAGCAGCTCAGGGATTTGTGATAAGGGACGGGACCCTGCCCTCTGTCGGAGCAGAGGCTGGCTAGAACAGACCGTGCCAGGGGCTCCCTGTGTGTGACCGCCAGGATGAGCTCCAACCTCTCAGCTGTGTCCCACTCCTTCACAGAATAAACTGAAGAAACAAACTGGCTGCCTCTTTCTCCAGGACACTGCTGGGGACAGGCCAAACTCCAGGCGGGGTAGACCCACCCAGGGCCAGTCTGGCTCCCGGCCGAGCTGTGTTAAGGGACAGGTTGGGATATGGTTGTGTCCTCTGCCAGGTGGCTGGAGGCCAACAGCACCTCCCCTGCCCCACCCCAGAAACACTCGGGCGCCAGATGCATCCTGACCTCAGGATGGCCTTCCCTGCCCTGACACCCTGACCCCTCCACCCTGCTGCTGCCACCCCGCCTGCCCTTGGAGGTAGCAATGCCCAGGTCTCCACGCCTCCCTCACCTAGACTCTGGACACTCAGCTTCCCTTTCCTGCCTGGCCAGGCCAGTTCTTTCCGCTCCCCCGACCCAGCAGTCACCCCCAGGTGCAGCTAGATGCATCCTGACCTCAGGATGGCCTTCCCTGCCCTGACACCCTGACCCCTCCACCCTGCTGCTGCCACCCCGCCTGCCCTTGGAGGTAGCAATGCCCAGGTCTCCACGCCTCCCTCACCTAGACTCTGGACACTCAGCTTCCCTTTCCTGCCTGGCCAGGCCAGTTCTTTCCGCTCCCCCGACCCAGCAGTCACCCCCTCAGGTGCAGCGCCCCCCGGGGTAGGCTCTCTCGCACTCCGAAGCTGTCCCTACATTCCCTGAGGATACTCCCAAAGGCAAGCTCACTCTTGTGTCCGCCTCTGCCAGTCACCTGGGGCCCCGCACACACACCTGCACTGTGACTGGGGGTGGCCCAGGAATATGAGTTTTAGCAGAGCACCCCAGGTCACAGGTCAGATCTGCCAGTCCACGGGGGGCATGTGACCCTGACCCGCCCTGCCTACTGCAGCCCACCCTCTCCCACAGGACCAGCCTGGCTCCCTCCGCTCGCCTTCTGCCTACTCCCTTGCGTTCACTGCAGAGGCCAGCCTGGCCCCGCCCTTCCTTTTCCCAGTTAGGCTTCAAGGAAGAGTGATTTACACCTCCCCCCACACTCAATGGCCCCAGCTCCATCAGCAGCCCTTCCCTGCTGCCCAGCTCTGTCCAGGCCTGGGCTCGGCCCTGGCCTCCCTCCTCTGCTCTCTGGCCTCCTGGGGATCCCATGGCTCTCAGGGTCACATCCTTAGCCCCAAGCCTGCCTTCCAGCGTGAGTTTACCTCTTTGAATCCCCCTCAGTCCATCCCTTCTCAGTCTTGGTTGTAAAGGCTCAGGGCTGCTCTACCCGGGACAGGGTGATGTGGGGACTCTTCCTTTGCCCAGGCCCCTCCCCTACCTCAGTGCCCCCCAGTCACACCCTCTGGGCAGCCTTCCCTGGCCTTCTAGGTTATGCGCCCTCAGTCCCCTGCACTGCACCATCTGGTCCCCATGCTGAGACCAAGAGCCACATTCTTCTGTGGCCCAGCACTGCCTGGTCCCAAAGGAGGCCATGAAATCCCCGCTCAGTGAGTGGCTAGGGGGCGCCAGGAGGCACGTGTCATGCTGGAGAGGACGGTTCCCCAGCCAGCTCTGCTCCCAACCCCCAGTGCCATCGTGAGGATGCCTTTGCCCTTCTTTCGGCCTCAGTTTCCTCCCAAGGTTCCAGAGGGTTCCATCACTCGTCCCACCCGACCCCCTGTGACCTGTGGCACCAAACCATGGCCTCCCGGTCCTCACTGGCCTCCTCCACTGCCCCCTCTGCCTTCTGGACCCCTGGCGGATGGACAGGCGGAGCAGGAAGCCAGACTTGCTCAGTTGCGGGCACAAGGCTTGGCCGGCTCCCAGTCAGACAGCAGCAGAGCTTCCTTGGTCAGGAGCTTTATTCTCAGTGAGTGAGCGGCCCTGTCATTCTGGTGGGAAGGGGTGCGGGGGACCCTCCGGCTCAGGCCACCCCACCCTTTGGCTTATGGTAGCAGCTGCCCACGTGGGGTCTCCAGGGCCCCAAGTCCCCTCTGGCAGGGACACCTCCCCACCCCCAGGGAGGGGCAGAGGCTGGAACCTGCTCTGGAGCCAGTGCTGCGCAGATGCAGCAGACTCCGCCTGCAGGAGCGCACCCCGGGCCTTCTCCATGGGACGGAGAGCTGCACTGTCCCTCTGAGTACCCCCAAAACAGTGTGGAGGGAGGGGAAGGAGGAGACTGCGAGGAGAGGATCGATTGGGAGGTGGCAGGGCCAGGTCTGACCCTGGGCCAGTGGGCTGATGGCCCTTCCCCTCCCTGTGCAGTCACTGGGGCATGGTGGGGACAGGGTGCTGCCTCCTCCCTCCACAGGGCTACTTGCCCCCAGAATACTAGTTCACCTCCCTGGAAAGTGCCCTGTGCACTCTGTCCAAGAGGTGGGCCCCGGCTCACAGGACCTCAGGTCAGCGCCTGCTGGATCCAGCCGATCACACCTGTGATGCGTGTGTAAACGCCAAAGTAGTTGGGCCGGCCACAGCCCAGGCCCCAGCTGACCAGCCCTGCCAGGAACCAGCGGCCACTGGGCTCCTTGCACACCAGAGGGCCACCAGAGTCACCCTGGGAGGAGGAGAGGAGATGGGGCTGTGTCAAGAGCTTGCTCAGTGGCAGCTGAAGCACACACGTTCATGGCTCTGCCTCCCCGTACCCTGTAAGCGGAGGGAAGTAGTGCAGCCCTGCCAGGCCGCCAGCGGGTCCTGGCTCTCGGGAGCTGTGGGCGGTGTCCCCATGCCCTGCTCCACCTCGCCTCCCTTCCTCCTGTCCTCTCCACTCTGTGGCCTCAGGCTCGGGCCCCAGAACCAGGTTTGAGTTCGGTGTCCCTCCACCTCTCCCGGCCTCAGTGTCTTCATCTGTGAAGGGGGCGGGTGGTGGCTGCCCACCTTCTGGAAGGCCGCGAGGCTCAGCAGGCTGACAAGAGCTAAAGCACAGGCCCTGCATGTGTGAGCACCACCCTCTCCCTCCTCGCTGGCCTCATGGTGTCACCTGGCAGGCGTCCTTCTTGCCCTTGCGGTAGCCGGCACACAGCATGCGCGGTGTCACCTGGTAGTGATAGGCCTCGCTGCACAGGTCCTGCGCAACCAGCTGCACATCCACTTTCTGCAGGACATTGCTGGTGGGGCCTGCCACGGGGTCAGGGGCAGTGGTGAGAAGATCCAGAGTGCTCAGAAGCCCCCTCCTTCATACAGGAGCCCCCTCCATCTCCTGCTCTGCTCCTCTGCCTCACCGTCCCTTGGCTCAGGCTCTTTGGACCAGTGTCTTCCTCCAGCTTCTCTCCCTGACTCCAGTGCCCCTGGCCCAGCAGGCTCCCCTCTGCTCTGCTGCATCCCTCAGGGAAGTTTCCACAGCCTACGCTGTCCCCCCAGTGTTCTCCCCCGGCCGTGGCCGTGCAGCCCCGGTGCTGTGTGTTAGGCTCCCCTGGAGAGCTCTGAGAGACCCTGACACCTGGTCCCCAGGCTCAGCCTCATTTGTCTAGGGCAGGGCCCGGGCATCAGGGATTTGAAGACCCGAGTGCAGGTGAGGAACAGAACACCTGGCCCAAGATCCTAATGGTGGCCTGCAAGGCCCAGCTGGTCCTTCCTGAGATCCCCACCAGCTGCGTCTGCCCTCTCCCGCACTACTCCCAGCTCCCCCGGCTGTTGCTGCTGTTGTCCACTGGCCTTCCTGTGCCCCACCTGTGCCTTTGCTGGGACCACTTCCCCATTCCACTTGCACCGATTCGGCCTCTACACCTCAGCTTAGACAGGAGGCCTCCTCACAGAGCCTTCCTTGGCTCGGCCTGGCAGGGTCTCCGCCGCTGCCAGTGCTCCCATTCCTCCCCATCTGGTCAGCGCTGACACTGTGTCGTCCAACACATTCTCCTTTCATCTTTATATCTGCTCTGCCTGACTTGGTGCCTGGCACACAGCAGGTGCTCAAATATGTGCTGACCGAATGAACAAATTAGTGGGTGAACTGTGCTTTGCTACTACTTTGTCATCCTCTTTGACAAGTTCCCTTTCGTCTGAGCCTCAGTTTTCCCTGCTCTCTACAAGGCTCAGGAATGTAGCTCAGGGGCAGGTACCTGCCCAGCATACACAAGGCTCTGGGTTCCATCCCCAGCACCACAAAAGAATAAAAATGACCCTACCATCCCACCTGCCTCCAGGTGGGAAGTCATCGAGCACGTTTTTAAAGACCCCACCGTGAAGGTTGCAACCCAAGGTCATAGTGGTACCAGCTAAGCCTGCGTCCACAGACCTGAGGGGTGGCTCTGGGGACAGCCAGCTCTGGCCAGTCAGCTCTGAAGGAGAGAAAGCCCCCTTGTGGGAGCCACCACAGGAAGAGGGAGCGTGGAGGGAGGCAGGCCTGGGTTTCAGGCGCTGGCTAATTCTCTGGCAATGTGACTTAGCAAGTGCTAAATGACACCCCACGAAATGGAGCCATAATATCCACTCCCAAATTGAATGGATTCTATGCAATTACGTTCCCCTAAAATTCAGTCTACAAAGTGTGAATAATTAAGAGCCAGGGGCAGTAGCACATGTTGTAATCCCAGCTGCTCAGGAGACTGGGCCTGGAAGATTACAAGTTCAAGGCCAGCCAGTGGTAGAGCCCTCGCCTCGTGTCACTGCTGACTAAGAGTCTGCCGCGCACACCTCCACCCACCCCTCTGTCCAGGAGCCCGCACTTAGCTGTGGATCCCAGGCCTCCCCTCCTGGCCCACACGTGCCCAACAACCTGTGTTCTTTTATGAGGGGCGGGGGAGGGGGCAAGGGCCGCATGCCACACACGGCGCACTTGTCTCCTCTGTGGGTCCCATTCACACGGCCCGACCGCAGCCTGCTCACCGCCTTCTCGCAGGGCGCCCCAGCCTGTGATCCAGCAGTGCAGGCCCGACTGAAAGAAGTGGGAGTGTGCGGGCAGGCACACAGGGCGCACGGTGGCGGAGCGCACCACCGGGTGGTCGAGCTGCAGCAGGGCCACATCGTAGTCGTGGCTGTCCGCCTCGTGGTACGGGTGCAGGAGCAGGCGGTTCACCTTGGAGGACACCTCCCCAGGCCAGCGGGAATTCTGCTGCATCTTGCCCAGGAACACGGTCCACAGCGCCGGGGAGGCCATGCTGGGTGTGCAGGGAGGGTGGCCCAGCTCAGTGCCGAGGACGCCCTGAGCCTCCCTCTCCTATGCTGCCGAGTGTTCCCCGGACCCACTTGGCCCTTCACCCCTCCCTGGATAAGCAGGAGCCACCCCAGGCCTCCTTCCGCCCATCTGGGACACAGGAAGCACACTCTGTACTCATGTGCCCGCAGTGGACTCCGAGAGGGCAGTGCTGGTCAGCAGACACACATCTCTGCCTTTGGTGTGCCCACTTTGCAGGGGGCTGTGGGGACCCCCGAGGCTCGCCAGTCCTGCGGTGAGGAGGGAGCGCCCATGCAGACCCCTGGACGCTGCTGTCAGCCTCCTTGGGGTGGGGATTTTCACCTTGAGGGCAATGGGGAGCCAGGGTCCAGGTGGCCAGAACTGCCTGTCAAGGACAGCTCGGTGGCCGTAGAAGACACAGGAGGAAGCCACCCTCTGCCCGGGGACTCGGAGCTCAGATCTGGCTGGGGTGGAAGGGGGCTCAGCCTACCAGCCAGATGGCAGAGGGGTGTGGGCCGATGAGCTGGCCTGGGGGGCTTCTCTGCCTGCCTGCCACCCCCTTCACAGCTCCAGTTCTGTCCTCTACCCCATCCCAGCATCAAGTGCAGCCCCTGGGACATAGGAGGAGCACAACAAATACTTCGCAGTGAATGACTCATGGGCCCAACCCAAAGCAAGATAGTACAGGAGCACAGAGACTGGGCAATGCGCCTAGGGCCACAGAGCGATTCTCGGTGGAGCCAGGACCAGATCTAAAGGTCACAGAGGTCAGTCTCAGGCACTTCTCACCAGGCGTCCACGTGGCCTCCCCGCCCACACGGTCACAGTCAGGCCCCCCGCACCCCTCACCTGTCCTCCTGGAAGCAGTGGGCAGCTGTGATCACCCAGCGGTCGGCAATGAGGGCGCCCCCACAGATGTGTCGGCCCCGAACCTGGAGGCTGGCCTGCCACGGCCACTCACCCTCAGAGGACACGGCCCCGCCCACGATGCGAGTGGAGGGGCCCTGGAGGCCACAGTCTGGGGGTGGGCAGAGGAGGAGGTGGGCAGGGAGAGGCCGGTGAGAGACAGAGAGGGACCGGCAGAGCTGAGGAAAGATGGAGAAAAGAGGAGGAGGCGGCAGCAGAGGCCAGAGATGGAGGGGGACAGGCCGTGTGAGATGCCCCAGCCCGTGTCCCCAGCCCCACCCTGTCCGGCAGGCGTCCCACCACTCACCGCAGTGGAGCTCGTCTGAACCGTCCTTGCAGTCTGGCTGCCCATCACACTGAGGATTGGGCTTCCGCACACAGCTGCGGTCCTTACACCGGAAGGTGAAGGTCCCACAAGGCACTCCTGGGGAGGGGAAGGTGGGACTCTGAGCCCCGGGGTTCAGGAGAGGATGGCAGGACACTGGGGTGGGGCTCTTGATCACACAGAGGGTCCCCCGAGTCTCCTTTAGAGTCTCCTAAAAGCAGGCCATGTCCCCATCACACCTCACACTTGGACCCATCTGCGGAGAGGGAGGCTGTCTCTCACACTGGACCTCTCACCACAGGGTCAGGCTTCTCCATCCACAGTGGTCCCAGAACTGTGCTCCCACTTTCAGACTGGGTCCCCAGAACAGGGCCCCCTAAGCCCTTGCCCTCCCCAGCTGCCTACCTGCTCCTTTCTGCACCCGGCATCCTGTCCACCACCTGGTCACTCCCAGCTTTCTTGCGTCCTGCCCACCCATCCATTGAAATCCCAGTGTGCCTCCTCTCAGGGACTTCCATGTCCAGGCTCTGCCCCCAACCTTCCCACCCTGCAGGGGTCCGGAAGACTTCGGGTCAGAAGAGTGGCCATCGCGTCCTTCTACTAACAACCCTGGAGGCCAGGGAACATGTTTCTGGTGTCTTATTCCTCCTTCCTCACTCCACCTTGCCTGTCAATGAGTAGTCTGCAAGTGTTGCTTGCCTAGTCCCATGGATAGACGCAAGGAAGAATAAAACTATGGACGCGGAAGATTGAGCAGATCAGCAAATGGGCAGTGGGGAGACTGACAGACAGCTATAAGGGTGAACGAATCAGTGGACATGAGGACCAAGGGACAGACAGGTGACTAGGAGATTGATGATGGATGAGTGGGTGGGTGGGTGGATGGACGGATGGACACACCAGCATAGATACAGAGAATTGCTAGGTGTTTGGATAAGAGCTCATAAACCTTTGCTGAGAAGCATGCAAAAGAGCTGAAATGCCTGGATGTGCCCTTTCTTTGACCCAGATCCCTGGCCAGGCCCTGCCATTATGGCTTGATCTAGATTTCCTCCCAAAGCCACCTGCAGTCATAGGTGGGGAGTTTGGAAACTGGATGGGTTAGGGTGTGTGATGCTGGGTAGTCTGGATGGATACAAAAAGAGAAGCAAGCTGCTGCTGCTGCTTCAATACTTTGCTGCTTTGTTGCCTTCTGCCTGTCCTGCCATGAACAATTTCTGCTCTTCAATGCTCTTCTGCAATGCTACCCTGCCTTGGAGCCAGCTAACTATGAACTGAAACCTCTACAAACTGTGAGCCAAATAAACCTTTCTTCCCTTAACTTGTGGGTGTTGGGTATTTTGTCTCAGCAACAAAAAAGTAACTAAGATGCCCGCCCTACCTTCTTGGCACTGCTCCTCATCACTGCCGTTGACACAGTCAGGCTGTCCATCACATACGCGGGGCAGGGAGATGCAGGTGCTGTCTTCCGGGCACTGGAAGGTGGCTCTACAAACTGTGGGACACAGAAGGGCAGGGGAGGGAGCCAGAGGACCAGGCTGGGACTTGGCGGTACCTACGAAACGTGTACAGCCTGTTACCCATCACTCACCTTTCTCTGCCACTGAATACCAGGGTCTCACAGCACCCCTGTGAGATACCCCATCTCACTGGCAGGAACAGGGATGGGGTGACTTGTTGACTGGCTGAACGAGAACCGGATTCCAAATATGAATCACCTCCCCTGACACTCAGTGGTATGGTCTGGGGCGGCTTCCCCTTTGGCTCTTTCTCCACACTGAACACTGGGGCAGTGCAGGGTGGGAGTTTCCTGCCTGGCAGCCCGGATGGTGGTACCAAGCATCAGAAGCCAGGATTCAGGCAGAGAGGTTTTGTTCGAGAGAGCCCTGGCTTAGGGGACCACTGGGACCCTGAGCTCCTCCTGGGGCTGGGGCTGGCAGTTCCCAGTCTGAGCCCCCAGAGAGGAGAGTTGACCCCATTCAAGGCAGGGAGATAAAGGTCCCCAAATGGCCACCCAAACCCTGAGGGAGCTCTGGCCAGAACAGGTGACTGGGCTGTTGGCCTGGGGAAAAGCCCTGAACTGAGCCAGGAGCTCCAGCTTGTCTCTGCCCAGGAGGCCTCTTCCCCATCTGCTCCCATCTTGCCATTCAGCCCAGAGGGAGAGAGGGTGTTCATGAGGGTCTCGGCTCAGCTCAGCACAGAGAACCAGGAAAGACCGGCAGGCAGGCTGCTCACCGCAGTTTCTCTCATCCAGGCCGTTGGGACAGTCCTTGATCCCATCACAGGCAGGGACACAGAGTCCATTCACGGAGCAGAGGAACTCGCCAGGGCAGGCTGGGAACCACAGAGGACACACAGCGTCATGCAACACAGGCAGACGGCAGGGCCTGTGTGTACCGTGGCTGGCAGGTCCCCAGGGACACTGGCAAGGCAGCCTGAGTGCACGGTCCATGCAGTCGCACATACCCAGACACACGTGCACAACACATACGTGGGTTTGAGTGAACATGTGACAGACCCACTCAGAGCCCCAACGCTGCCTGTAACACACACACACACACACGCGCGCACACACACATCCACATGCACTCGCACCTGCTGTCCTGCCTCCCATTCAGCAGCCCACATCCAGGGACACCGAGGGCAGGGGGTGCCCTGGGGCTGGGGTGCCACCCACCCCCATACTCACGGTCCGACTGGTTGTACAGGCTGTAGTGCACCCGCACGCCTGGCCCTGTCAGAGGGCTCTGCGATGTGAAGTTGATGGTGATGCCAGCCGTGGCCAACACGGGGATCCTCTCAGCGTAGGGCTGCAGGGTACGCAAGCCACATAGCCTAGGAGTGACCAGAGACAACTCAGGGACGCACAGGCCAGTTTCCCAGCACAAGGGGTGGCACAGCCTGGGCCCTGTACACAGACCGGGCCAACAGCGTGGCCCAGATGGAATGAGGAGCTGCACCCCCAGCCCCTCTTCCGCAGTCTTGACAAAAGGCTTCCACGCATCCGTAGAGGCAAAAGATCCAGAATGGCCCGCTGTAGACAGAAGACACCACACTTTGGTGCTTGGCGTGGGGCAAGGGAACACAGCGTCCCCAGCCCTGCCCGGCTGCTGATGGCTCTGCACCCCGGGCAGGTGCCCTGCGGACCCATAGCACAGCGCCGATGACCGTGTCTCCTGTGTGACGACACCCAGGTGGGTGCCCCAGGCGGGCGTGCCTCCATCCCGCTGGACACCCTTCCTCCCCTCCGAGAAGGGGCTCTATCACACTGCAGGTGGGAGCCCCTCTCTAGGTGGGGATCAGCCACACCCCCCAGAGCCAGGCAGCCATCCCTAGAAAGGCGGGGTCCTCCACACAGACAGCTGGGGGTCCCTCCCATCCAAAGTGAGGCACCCTGGCAGAACTAGGGGGGCCAGGAGGACTGTTCTCAGCCGGGTCACAGAGAGGCTGATGAGAAGCCGCAGTGGGGCTGGAATCCAGGCAGCTCTGGAGGGGAGGGTACCCCAATTCCCACTTCAATGTGAACTCCGGGCACTGACTGAACCCCTCAAATCCACCCCCTCCCCCAGGATCCTGGCCTAGACTCTGCCTGGCTACACTAACCACAGTCTGGATCTCACTCCACCAGCAGTTCTCAAAGTGCAGTCCAGGGAGCCCTGCAGGGTCCCAAATCATTTTAATAGTAATGCTCAGGTGGCTTTTGCTTTCTTTTTTTTTTCTTTTTGTCCCCATTCTCTAGCAACCATACAGCAGGACTTTCCAAGGACTACATGATATGTGAATCATAACTGACCAAATGCAGAAGCAGGATGAGGGATCAGTCGTGGTCTTTTCAGCCAGTTATTAAAGATGCAAAAAAAGTAAAATGATAACCAGGTGTGGTGGCACATGGCTGTAATCCCAGCACTCGGGAGGCTGAGGCAGGAGGATCGCCATTAGTTCAAGACCAGCCTGGGCTACATAGTGAGCTCCAGGTCAGTCTCAACTACACAGTGAGACTCTCAAAACAAACAAAAAAGTAAAAAGCCAAAAAGTAAAATGATGACAAAATAATGCCACTAAATGTTTTTGGTTTTGAGATACAATTTTTCATAAAATAAAAAAATTATTTTGTTTTTGTGGTAAATTAAAAATTTTAATGTATTAGCATTATAATAATAATTGTGTTTTGTTTTGCTTTGTTTTGTTTTATTTCATTTTAAGACATAGTCTCACTAAATTGCTAAGTTGCCTAGACTGGGCTGAAACTTGCCATCCTCCTGACTCAGCCTCACAGAGTTCTGGGATTACAGGCATGCTCCAGCACATCTGGCTATATTATTTTGAAGGAATTTCAGCCATCCCTTCTTACCCACGGGGGATGCACTCCAAGACCCCGAGTGGGTGTCTGAAATCACTGATAGTACTAAACCCTAGGTACACTATTTTTTCTGTATATAAATATATCTGATAAACTTTAATTTACAAATTATGCACAATAAGAGTAATAATTAACATAAAATAGAGCAGCTATGGTAATGAAATGAAAGTTATTTAAAATTCATGAATTAATTCTGGAATTTTCCACCGAATATTTCAGATCTCAGTTGCCTGTAGCTCACACACTGTAGAGGAGAGGGAGGTTTAACTTCTGAGGTTTAACTTCTCACTGTAAATGTAGATATATAGTCTGTATAAGCAAAATCTTCAGGGTGCTCAGTCATTTTAAAGACAGTTAAAAGGGTTCCAAGATAGAACATTTTGAAAACCTTGGACGCACACCAAGATTCCCACAGCCCAGCGTCACGCGACATGAATGAGGTGCCACGAGGGGGCGCCCCGGAGCAAGCCTGGCTCCTCCTGCCCTTTACAACCTGTGGGAGCTGGTTTTGGTGTGAATAAACATGTTGTGACAGGTTGCTATGCTCAGAGACAGCTCCAGGAAGTGGGCAGGGGAGCTAGGGGCAGGGGAGCACTGGGCAGGGGAAATGAGGAGCCAAATGCGTCACCAGCACGCAGAAGATCAGGGAGGCTGTGGGGAGATAGGAGAGGAAGCAGAGCCAGCCAGAGGGGAGCGGAGCCCTTTAACCTGAAAGCTGAAATGTCATCCTGATCTGTGGGCAGAGCACAGGGGCTCCAGTGCCTTCCATGGGGCGCTCTCTGCTGGTGAGCCCAAGAATCCTAGACTCAGCCCATGGATGCTCAACCCTACAGCCTGCCTGCAGGCCTGCAGGGGGTCAGGGATCCTGGGGACCCTCTCCTTGGGGAACCCAGAGTGCACAGGGCTGCAGCCCAGTGACTCACACTGAGTCACACGACCCAAAGACAGCCTGCTTCATCTGTGCAGTGCACGAATTATTTTTACTGTTAGTGCCATCTAATTTCACATGATAAAAGTAAGAAATCCTCTAATCACAGGCTGGGACAAGCAGTCAGGGCATGGAGCCCTGGTGGCTGGGACCTTAGGTCTTCCTGGGCAGCAGCCTTGAGGAGCCTCACTCTAGCCTGGCCCCTTGGCCCAGCTGAGTTTCCAGGTCCTGCTGCAGAGCCTTCTAGGTGGGGAGCCTGTCCCCTGGCTCTCCCGTCCCTCCCGCCCACCAAGCCCTCACCAGGGAGCACCAGGGGCCGACGGGGTTGTCCACAGCCTCATCCCACTGCCAGGTGCTGGGCATACACTGCATTGAGCGACCTGCCCAGCTTTGGGTACCCAGGAGGAACTGGAGAAACACTGGGGGATGGGCCGAAGGGCGGGAGGGAAGAAAGAGAAGAAAGGAGAGACGCACTCACACCTTCCCTCTCGTAAGGACAGGCTACAGGGAAGACAACCACTAAGGAGGGAGAGCAAGCTGGGCACGGAGGCACACGCCTGTGACCCCACACTCTGGGAGGACGAGGATCGTAAGTTCGAGCCTAACCTGGCAGCAACTTAGTAGCTTAGCAACACCCTGTCTCAAAATAAAAAATGAAAGAAGGACCTGTGATGTAGCTTAGTGCAGAGGCCCTGGGTTTCATCTCCAGTACTGGGAAAAAAAAAAAAAAAAAAGCAACCAAAGGGACAGCGTCCAGAATAGCGGCCAGAGCAACAGACCTGGCCCTGCAGAACCGAGGCTTGAGCCCAGCCTTGCTCCCTGAACAAGCAGCATGATTTCTAGTACACGGCACCGCCTCAGCAAGCCTTAGGTCTCACACTTGCAAGGTGGGGTAACAGCCCCCCAGTGTGGGGTGTCTTTAGGGACATCTGACAAGTGGCCTCTGGGACAGCACGTGCTGTATTATCAGGCTGTGTGCTCCCACAGGGAAAACTGCGGTGCCATCTTCAGTGTGGCCAGCACTCGGCACAGGGGCGATTGCACGTAGCACTGGCCACCCAGGGGCTAGAGGAACGAGAGAGCCACAGAGCCAGGCCAGGCCCCAGGGGACTCCATGAGCCCTGGAAGCCTGTGGTTCTCCTGAGCTCACGTCTAGGAGCCAGGGGAAATATCTGGGCAGGTCACAAGGGAAGTGACATCACAGGACAGGAAGCTGGCGTGGGGCAGGTTCCCAGAAAGGGGGAAGATTGCTGCGGTGGCACCACCCCGAGTGGGTTCTGCGAAACCAGCAGCCAGTGGCCGGATCTCTCGGGGACAAGTCCCTCCACAGCCCCAAGCCACAAAAGGGCAGGAGGTCTAGGCTGGGTCAGGAGACACTGGCAAAAAACAGAGAGGTCAGAGGAGGGGGATCAAGGGCTCCTAGGAGTCCCGTGCAGTGCCTTCCTTGTCATGACACTGGCACCTGCATGTTCAGACGCTTCACCCTGACTGCCATCTGTGTCTCCCGACCCCACTGCCTTTCTGGGCCAAAGGACTGGGCCCTCCCTCCCAGCAAACCCTTCCCCAGACCTCTCCTGCCTCAGCCACCCACACAGTATATTTTCCAGTGAATACTCATTCAAAGAATTTCCCAGCAGTGACAGAGGAAGATGGTTATCAAAACCCGCGCAGACAACAGGCAAGGACTGGCCAGGCTCCTGCCTGGCGGGCTCCACCCCTGCCTCCCCTTCCACATCAGGCAGGCACTGGAGCCTGGAAGAGGGTGACGTGCTTTTCCCCTGGGGACGCTGGACCCTAGTGGAGCTCTCAGAAGGCCGGGCTGGGTTTCCCAGGCAGCTCTTGGAGGACTTGGCTGAGAGCCTGCAGACGGCTGGTTCTCCCATCCGGTGCCACGGGTGGGTGGTGAGCAGCTGCCTTGGGTTCTCCAAGGCTCTGGGGGAGGCAGGGGCACTGGTGTGAGCTCACACACACGCACAGAGACACACAGACAGGCGCACACATGGCCCACAGCATGGAACCCAGCAGATGCCAGTCCACACTCTAGGACTTGCCAGCTTCCAGAACCATGATTCAAATAAAACCTCTATTCTTCATAAAGCCTCAGGGATTTTGTGACTGCTGTGGAGAAGATTAAGGCACTGCCATGAGTATTCCTGTCCTTGCCGGGGTCTTGAGAATGGGAGAGATGGCGTTGTGACCCCTTAGCTCTGTGCCTGTCCGGTGCAGAGTGAGCCGGTTATTACTGCATGGTTGGTGCCACTCTGAGCTGTGCCTTCTCAAGGCCCAAGTGTGCCAATGTTCCTCCCGGTTGGCTCATTTAGCCTGCAGCAGGAAGGGGGGCCTGTTCCGTGCCCCTCTTATTTGTAGTGCTGGGATGGGACCCAGGGCTTCACACCTGCTGGGCAAATGCTCTACCACTGAGCTGCACCCAGGGCGGTGCACACGGGACTTTGAGATGCATTCGCTGAGGCTGGGAGAGGAGACCTTGCCCACAGGACTCTGCAGGAAGCAGAGGGGCTGGGCCAGGCTTTGACCCCTGGTCAGCCTGGTTTTGACACTTCCATTCTCTCCTCCTCACTGGCCTCATCCAGAATGACATTTTACTAGGAGCTAGTGAACAAGTTTGGTTGGGATGACATCTGCCTACTGGGTGGGTAATCACAGAGTGGGACCCTGGGCTCAGTCCTCCCAGGGCTACTTCCCCACCCACACGTAAGGGAGGGCTGCACTGTGTGACCACTGCAGCCCACACATTCTATAGTTCAGTGTGGCTTGGAGACCCTGCGAGCCCCCCTCTGGCACCCATCGTGGGGCCGTGAACCCCACTATCAAGCCTTCGCACTCCCATATTCAGCTCTGGAGAGGGTGAGAGCCTGGGAAGGTCATCGTCTGCAGTTACAGAGCTGTGACTCATGGTCCAGTCTCAGGGGACTCCGAGGGGCGAGCCCAGCCCTCCTCAGCATGGGTGGCTGCCAGGGGGCTCCCGCGGGAGCTCCAGGAAGGAGCAGGGCAGCCATGCCGCCAAATGTCCCCCTCCTGTGTGCTGGAGACACCCCAGGGGCACAGGCCCGAGTCACACACAGGCCTTTCTCCTTTCCTTTACTCACAGTCCCCGGCACACTGCAAAAAGCCTGGGGAAGGAAAATCCCGTCATGCGAGCCTGCCAGTCACTGTCACCTTTGTCCAGATTATCCTTTTATAGGATCCGCCCACAGGCCAAGTATTCGTGCTGTGAGTGGGGATGCAACCCTCGGAATTCAAGGATCCCCGTTCCAGAACCTTCCTCAAGCCCCATATCAGAGGGTTACACACTCAAAACCTCAAAGTCAAGAAATGAAGGGTTCCAGAAGTGCATTCTAGAATGCCAGCCGGTTAGGCTCCCAGAATCCTAGCATGGCGAGGAGGACAGCGGCCCACCTACCATCAGATGTGGACCCTCTAGTCAGTGTCCCCGACAGAGTGACTCTCGCCCGGGGAGGGAGGGCGCCCTGGTTCCCTTGAATCTCCTAGGCCCCTCTTTTCCCCAGACAGTGGAAAACACGACTACATTTCCTTTCTTACTTTACCTGCCCTCTGCCCACCCTGGTCCTTTGGCAGGATGGCAGTGGCTTTTGGTCACCTGCAAGGGCCATTTACCTGTCCTTTTCCTGGCCACACAGCAGCCATGCTGACCCTGGCCGCAGTGCTTCGTACTGCAGACGCCTCTGCCTGTGCCCGGTGCCCCAGGGGAACTCATTTCTTAACCAGAAACTTCCTTCCCAAGGAAGCCAAGGGTGGGTACCCTGCAGGAGACGCAGGGGATGCAGGGCCTGTTGGAGCAGACTGCACAGCTGGGAGCTAGGAGAGGGGAGAAGGCACGCTCCGGGTTCCTGCACTTGGGGGGGGGGCACCAGCATCCGGATCCCTATATCACCTCATTGAGTACGGATGCTGGGCATGGGGTTACAGCACCCAAGGACATGAACCGGGTTCCCCCTGACTGGGATCCACAGCCAGGGAGGCGGACCACAAGGTTCTCAGGCGGTGGGCCCAGAAGAGGCGGGGCCTGGCTGGAGGGGCAGGGCCAAGAGCCACAAGCCTGGTTTCAGCCCCACCCCATCCACTCCCTCAGAGGCCAGAACTTGGCTCCCACGTGGAGCTTGGGAATGCAGGTGGCAGAGGTGGTACCTCCTGTTCTGTATCGTCCACTGTCCCTGGGTGCACAGCAGGCCGTACTTCTGTCTCCGCAGAGCATAGGCGTCAAACCAAAGGGCCAAGCCGTAGTCCAGAGATGGCACCTGGTAAGTAGGTGAGCGACATTGGTGACCCAACAGACATGGCCAGGCCCGTGCACCCACCTCCCCCAAGGGTGACACAGGAGAAAGCCACACAGAGCCCCAGCTGGGGGTGAAGTCTGTCAGTCACTCAACAAACAGGCATCACAGTAACCAACAGAGGGAGACCCTGGCTGCAGCCGCCCCCCACCCTCACCCCTATGGATGATGCCAGGGCTCGGCCTCAGCCTGTGGGGTACCCTGCACAGAGGGCAAGGGTGTGTGGCTCACCGTGAGGTGCCAGGAGCAGTGGGTGTTGGGAGAGTAGTAGCTGGGGAAGTAGGGTGTGCTGAGGGCACCCTGTGGTTCCAGCCGGCCTTCCAGTGTCAGGTTCACCTGGCAGGCTGAGCCCGAAAACAGCCATTACGCAGGGCCCCTGGCCCCGCCCAGTACCTCCCACCAGGCGGAGCAGATTATGGCACACCTCCCCACCAGCTCTGAAAGCGAGCCTCGGTTTCCTCATCAGCAAGATGGGGACAATCCCAGTGGAGAACATGAGCCAATTGCGCAGAAAAAATGCTGGAACAGCCTGGCATGCTGAACACATGCTGATGCTCAATGAATGTCAGCACTGACATTGGTGGTTCTGCCCTTGACAGTGGACAAAATGCGTTCACAGCAGTGCCAACCTCTCAGCTACGGTAGCCGGCAGGGAGAGTTGTTCCCCTTTTCAAAGATGAGGTTGAGGGTCCATGGTGGAGCTCAGTGATACAGTAATTTCCTAGCACATGTGAGGCCCACTGCCGCCAAATGAAAGCAATGATGTTGGGGAGAGATGGGCAGCTTGGCTGTCAGGCCCAGGCCCGGCCCAAGGTCACCGCACACTTAGTCTGTCAGAGAGCCGGGGGCGGGGCCAGCGGACCTGGGGAGGCCTGCTCTGGGGAGGGCCCGGGTTTCTGTCCCACCTCTGCCCAGGGCCCCGGCCTCTCACCCTGGAAGGCCACGGGCTGCACAGAGAGCACGAAGGGGTCGACATAGCTGTGCAGACCCTTCTTCCAGACGACCGCCATGATGGCGCCTGAGGCCAGCACCTCCAGCGCCGGCTCCTGTCGGCTGCAGCCATAGACCCTGGTGGAAGAGAAGGGTGGCAAGGGAGGGGCAGGGTCTTTGTGGGGGTGTGGACTGGTCGGGCTGCAGGGCTGGCCACTGGAGGGACGAGGAGGTTGCATGGAGGTCTGTACATCAGGTTCTAGGCCTAGATCTGTGACTGGATGCTGTGTGTCCATGGGTGGGTGTCCGGCCCTCTCTGAGCCCAGAAACTGACCAGAGGCCCTGTAAAAGTCAGACCAGCTCCTCAGATAAGGGAAGGAGTTACCCAGAAGCTCATGATTCAATGACAACCGTGAGCCTAGTCCCACAGCAGCAACCTTCCACCCCCCACGTCACCTGAGGACCCTGACCGCACCTGGCAGGGGTGCCAGGGTGGCAGCTGCAGGGACCACCACTCTGGTTGTCCATACCCTGCCTGCTGGCTACTGTGGTCTGGACAGGGAGAAAGCAGGTGTGTGGCCAGTGACCCCCACACTAGAGCCTCGTGCCTGGGAGACTCCGAAGAGATAAGAGTCTTAGAATTGAGACTTCAGAAGCCTGCAGTGTCAGTCCTGAAAGACTTCCAGATCAAGGTCAACCACTGGGTTTCCAGAGGGGGAAACTGAGGCCTCAGTGATCTGTGACAGGGCCAGGCATGTGCTCAATGCTGCTGTGTCACCTGGTCCCCTCCACGTTCTCAGGGACCCCCGTATGCCCATCTCAGATGGGGGTGCCCCTCACCCACCTCCAGACCCCTCAACCCGGCATCTGCCTCAGTTTGGCAGGGGAACAAAGGGCTTCTGCCCCCCCCCACCATCAGGCTGGCTTGGTCCTCTGCTGGGGGCCCCACCCGGCCACACACTGCCCCCCACCTTCACCACTTGGGTTCATCTCCTGGGGATGTGGGATTCAGACACTAGTCACTCAGGGTTCCATCATCTTTAGTGGGAGCACCCTTCTGGGGTTTCTTACTAACTTTCCGTGGAGCCGCTGTAAAGAAAACACGGGAAGCCAAGGACAGACTGCATGGTTAGGGTGGGCTGAGGGTCCCACCCACTCCCAGCATAGCTCTGGTGCAAGTTTGAGAACCTGGGAGTAGGGACGGAGCCAAGCCAGGTAATCAGCCTCCTCCTCAGCTGTGAGGGGTTGGGGAGGCATCTGGAGAAGCCCCCGGGGAAGTCCGGAAACCCCCACCTGCAGACCTGGAAGTCAGAAGATGTCAAGGACCAGCCCTCTCACACTCCAGACTGAGGTCAGCAGGGCAGGCACAGCCTCGCGGCTGGCCAGGGATACATGGGCCCCAACCCCAACCTGGAGGCCAGGCACTGCTCAAGAGACACCAAAGTGCCTGGTGCAAAGTAAGTGCTCATTAAAAAAGGACTGCAGCTGCCCATGCCGGAGTGCCCCCTACACCTGCTGCACAGCCTTGTGCAGGAGATGAACCCCTCTGCCCACCCTGTGAGGAGGTGGCCAGGCCCCTGGACACCAAGGTTGCTCCAGCCCCTCCTCCTTATCCCCAGCCTCTGCCTGCTGACCCCAGTCACTTCTGTACTCCATATCATATCCCATGCCCTAAAGTCTACTCCTCTGCTCAAGAACTTTCCATAGCTCCCCATTTACCAGATATGAAAATCCAAACTGCTCGTGGCACTCCATGCCCTCTGTAGCTGGGTGCCAACCAGACAATATAGAATGACTGTCACAGTAGCTGGAATTTCCTGGGCACTCAGGATGTGTGAGGATCATAGCACAGGCATTATGATTTAAATTCTCACAATAACCCTGATAAGCGTGATTATACTCTCATTTTACAGAGAAGAAAACAGGCCCAGAGAGTCGAAGTAACTTTGCTTCACAAAGCCAGGCAGCAGCAGAGTAGGAACCGGAAGTCTAGGCAGCTGCCAGACCTGAAATCTCCCGACTGGCCACGTGGCCTCCCTGAGTGACCTTAGGGGTCATCTGGAATAACTGCTTTGTTACAGATGGGGAGACTGAGGCTGGGGGGCAACAGGACATTTCAGGACTCCCTTTCCCTTCCCTTTATGCCCTTTGTCTTGGCCTCAGCCTGCAGACTGGGACCTCTGACCCCACTCAACCCTGTCATGCCCAGGACTCACGAGGTAATGAGCCTCTTTTCCAATGGCCCAGCTGCGTCATACATGGCCAGGCGGTCTCGGCACTCGGGCAGGGTCCACTCCAGCCGCACCTTGAGCATGAGCTCCTGGGGGCCCTGCAGGTGCCACAGGCAACTGGAGGCCAGCTGGTCGGGGCCCTTCAGCCGCAGGGCCTGGCCCTGGCCCACATAGCTGTAGCGGTAACAGCCTGGAGGGGAGAGAGACAGACTTCCTGACCCCAGTTGGCTGAAGGGAACTGGGGGGCTGGCGTCCCAGGTGGGCAGGGCCAGGTGCGCCACGCCCACCTCCCAGCCTCCCGGTTGCTTCTTTTCCGGCCCTTCATCTGTGTGTTTGCTCTCACCAGTCTGATCGCTCATTCACTCGTCAAACACACCGAGCTTGCAGGTCAGGGGAGCGCCAGGACAGAGGGCCCATGCTGCCCGGGAACTCCAAGGACAGTGGGACAGACACGGAGTCGGGCAGCCAAGGCATAGGAGAGGAGGGCTCCGAGCCAGCCTGGGGAGCCCGGGTGTACTGGGGTTCACAGCTCGAGCACAGAGGCAGCAGACACGTTGCCAGAAAGCATTTCAACCCAGAGAACTGAACAAAAGGCAAGCGTTGCCACTCTGGAGGCTGTGAGAGCCACGGAGTCGTCAGCGGGCTGGGTACCATCCCACTGGAGTCCCAGACACCCCTGGAGGCAGGGATCAGCACCGAGCTGGGGAGACCCAAGAGGGAGCTGCACAGTGAGGGACCAGAGCCGCTCGGCGGGGAGGAGGAAGGGCCTGTGTTCTGGAGCGGGGCGCAGCACCCAGAGGAAGGAGCAGAGTGTTTCGGAAAACAGTTTGTGCTCGGAAAGTGATGCGTGGGGGCTCGGTGTGCAATGCCTTGTCCCCCATTCCTGCTCTCAGTGGCTCCCTGGATTCTCTGCCTCCCTCCCTCCGTCCTTTCCTTCTTCAGTACAGGGATTGAAACCAGGGTCTCCTGTGTGCTGGACAAATGCTCCATCGCTGAGCCCTGATCACGTTTTGGTACAAAAACTCCTAGACAGAGTCTTGTGGGTTCCTACTTCCAGGTCCCCTCTCAACGATGGAGCTATTCCTCTCTCCCTCAGAGACATTCCTAGTCCACCTCCTTCAGTCTTCCACCTCGAGAGGCGGCACCCAGATGGCGCCCCTCTCTCCGGCCAGCGGGGCAGCCCAGGTGACCACGCCCACAGAAGGGCCTTGCCACCCGCTTTGAAGCGGACAGAGAGAGTCAGCCCCGGCTCAGTCGCCGCTGTCTTCCCCGCACTCCCAGGGAGGCGCTGGCCGCGGGCACCGTCACCAGCGTTCCTCAGGGGCAGGACTGTCACTGCACTTCTCTCCCTCCTGGGGCTGCGCTTTCAAATGCAGACCCCTGAGCACCCGCAAGCACCCTTGGACTCCCAGAAGGGAGGGCAGCTTCAACACTGTCTCTTCCCAGGGGTTCCTGGAAGCCCCAGAACTGCTAGAATAAACCAGAGAGTAGGAAGACTTTTCTCTTGTGCAAGAAAATTAAAGTTTCTAAATGTGGAGACAGAGCAGAAAGATTGGAGTGGTACTGAGAGCCATGGGGATGTCGCTCGAGAGTAGGGGCTCTTGGTGTTGGGGGGCTTTGTCTCTTCGGGGTGCACAGCACAGCTTTCTGGAACCAGGCCTTGGGCAGCCCCAGCACCCAGGGGCCTCACATAAGCCAGACACCCAGAAAAGGCATGAACGTACATGAGGATGTCACTCTTCCAATTAAATTTGTTTGGGGGAAGTGGTTTTTTTTATATAAAAATGTTTTGTTAATATTAATGGGCATGTTAAGGTAACATAAATTTTAAATGAATTAATAAACACCTTTTCTGTTTTGAGAGAGGGTCTTGCTTTGTAGTTCAGGCTGGCCTTCAACTCACTATGTAGCCCAGGCTAGTGTGGAATTTGTGGCAATCCTCCTGCCTCAGCTTCCCTAGTGCTAAGATTATAGGCTTGTGCCACAGTGTCCGGCTCCCTTTTTTCTGTAATACTAAGGATTGAACTGAGGGCCTTAGCATTTAAATTACATCCCCAGAAGGCAGGCAGTGGCACCACTGAGCTTAATCCCACGCCCTTAATTTTTGATTTTGAGACAGGGTCTTGCTAAATTGCTCAGGCTGGGAGTGAACTTGTGATCCTCCTGCCTTGGCCTGGGATTATGGGTGTGGGCCACCACACCAGACTAAAAATGGTTCTTAAATATCTGTTTTTTAGCTTCTATGGTAACTTTTCTTTTCTTTTTCTTTTTCTTTTTTTTTCTTCTGGTACCAGGGAAGGATTGAACTGGTCCTTGCTAGAACCACTGAGCTAAATCCCCGGCTCTCGCTGGGCATGGTGGCGCATGCCTGTAATAACAGCACTCGGGAGGCTGAGGCAGGAAAATCGATGTGAGTTCAAGACCAGCCTGGGCTACATAGTGAATTCCAGGTCAGTCTCAACTACATAGTGAGACTCTGTCTCAGAAAACCAAAAAAATAAAATAAAATAAAATAAAAAATAAATAAATCCCCAGCTCTCTTATGGTAATTATTGATACCTACAACCCGTGTAAACAAAAACTCTTTGAGGTCCTCCATATTATTTCCAAGAGCATCACAGACTTCCAAGACCAAAATCTCAAGAGGTGTCACCCTAGGTCGGCAGTCGGCAAACTTCTGTGAAGGGCCAGATAGTAAGCTCTGAGGGTTTGAAAGCTGAAGCAAAATTGAGGGTACTACAAAAGTACGCTTAAAATAAAAGAGAAAATGAAAATGAGAAAATGAAACTTGTCCCCCTCAGTTAGCAATGCAAAATTCCTTGTTAGCTGGTGGCCACTTAAAAGCAATGGGGCAGACCTGATTGGCCCACGGGTCATGGTTTGCAACCCTGCCCCAGAGCAGAATCTACTGAGCCCCCCTGCCAAGGTCTTGGAAGAGACTGTCCTGACCCACTGCTGGGGCAGACCTGATTGGCCCACGGGTCATGGTTTGCAACCCTGCCCCAGAGCAGAATCTACTGACCGCCCCCCTGCCAAGGTCTTGGAAGTGACTGTCCTGACCCACTGTGACCACTGGGGACCCACCCTCCGCTCTGTAGGGTGTGATGTGAAAGACTGGCGAGCTGTAAAACATTTTGGGTCACTCAAAAAGATCACCCAAAAGTTATAATTGCATTGCCTGGTAGGACACCAGCCAGTTTAGTACATGAAGTTGGCAATCTTATCCAGGGGCCCTCGGGTACAACAGCCCAGGCGGGGCACCTCAATTCGAGGACTTGCCAGTCCACAGGTAACAATGTGGTCAGCGCCCCAGCCTTGTACAGCAGGGAGGCCCAGCTGGTAGCTTGCTTCCCAGGGCCCAGCAGGAAGACAGTGTGGCCTCTTGGAGAAAAGCAAGTGACTTTAGCACTGTGAAGCCAGCAGGGAAGGAGGGGTGACTGGCCTAGCCGAGAAGGAAAGGAAAGAGAGGAGGGAACATTCTTGAAAGTGACAGAACTGCTACCTCTAAAGGACCAAGTTTTTGTTTTTTGTAGTACTGGGGATTAGAACTCAGGGCCTTCGAACTGAGCTACATATTCAATCCTTTTTTAAAATTTTTAAGACAGGGTTTCATTAAGTGCCCAGGTTGGGCACTCAAACTTGAACTCCTCTTGCCTCAGCCTCCCGGAGTACTGGATTAACAGCCATGTGCCACCATACCTGGTTAAAGGACCAAGTCTTACATCCAAAGTGACTGATGCAAGTTGAATTTAAGACCGTTTTTCTGCCCTCAGTGGAAGCAGTGGCTTGTGGGAAGTTGAATTTCAGGATAGAAAAGCAGAGTTAGGTTTCCCTGTGCCAAGCCTGCTGCTCTCCCTCACACACACCTGTGCACAGAGCACATGCACACACCAGCACACACTTCCCCCTACACGACCCAAGCCTGGCACTGAACCTGCACAGTGCCCACATGGCGTCCCCCGGACATCCCCACGCCAGGCTCCCAGGACCCATGCTGGAAACCACTCAGCCCCCGAAGCCGAACCAAGCCAAGTAAAGAGCCAACTCAAAAGAAAACGGGGCAGGAAAACAAAAAGGAGCGTACCCAGCGTGGAATTCAGCGCGACTATGTCTTTCACGCTGGCTTCTGTTAAAAGGAAATGAACAAACAAATAAACACCGACAAATAGGAAAATAAAAATACAATGAAAATAAACAGAGAAGGCTGCTAGAGCCAGCTTTGTCTGAGTTCTACTTGCAAGGCTCCCACCCACCTGCTGTCCCGACTCTGGGGCCACTGAGTGTCCCCACCCTGGGCACAGCCCCACCTCACCCTCCTGGTACTGACCCAGGATCACCAGACCCTCGGGGTCCACCTCGTACTCGACCATGTAGGAGACAGGGGCCGAGCGGTTGGCCACAGACAGCAGCTCCTCCACCAGCAGCGCCCGCACCGTCTCGGGGCTCAGCGTGGGCTGGAGGTGCTCCGGGATTTGCAGGATGAACCAGAAGAAGCAGGTGAGGGGTCCCTCACTAAGGTGGGCGGAGCGAGAGGTGTCGGGCGTTAGTCCCTCCATCTGATCCCCACCCAGAGCCTGCTGTCCCACCCCACAGGTGGACCGAGCACTTCCTAGGACCCTGGCACCTCCACACCGGGGCTGAGCTTCGAGCTGTGGTCTGCGCAGTGAGTGGCAGAACCACATGTGGATAGGACGGGCCCCTGGGGCTCGCTCTCAAGCTGCCCTCCCAACCCGGTCTCCCCTAAAGCAACCAGACTCCCTGGGCCCAGGCCTGGGGCAGGGCAAGCCCTGCTGCAGCCCTGCATTCAGGATTCTGCAGACAGGTAACCCCAGCTCACGAGGGGTCACCCCGGGAAGCCCAGCCCCTGCACTGCGGCCTGGCATCCCCGTTCTAAGGTCAAGGGCGTTGCATCCGAGGCTGACACCCCCACTCTCTGGGCCTGAGGTTCTAGCGGGGGCGGGTAGGTGGGGCATGGGGACCACTCACCCGAAGGAGTAGACGGAGCTGGAGTTGTAGTAAGTGCCCAGGCGGGTGCTACCAACGAGCTCTTTGAGCTGCAAGGAGGGACATGACAGCCCAGTGGGGGGACTCTTCTTGGGGACAGCAGGACTTTTGAAGTCCCTTTCCACCTGTGTCCTCTGCTCCTCCCGGCTTGACTGTTCCCCCACAGCAGCTCTCAGCTCCAGCTGAGGCCCCTCTGCCCCAGCCAGAGAACCTTGGTTGGGTCCACCCCAGCAGACCTTGTACCAGGAAGTAAGGCGAGTGGTTTATTTGGAGGTGACTTGTGGCACAGAGTCGGGCAGGGGTGGGACCTTGACAGTGTCCAGGACACCGCAGTGCCTTCCCTAAGGCAAGAGGCAGGAGTAGGGGTCAATCCTAGCACCCCACCACCCCCACTGTGGAGTGGAACCCAGAGCCTCATCAGCGCTACTCAAGGTCTCTAGCACTGAGCCGTACTCAGGCCCACAGTCCCCGGACATCTGACCGTGCATCGGCCGCACAGCCCGGACCCAGGCAGCAGGTGGCCTTCCGGGTGCCCCATCGGCTGTGCCCCACCCTCGCTCTCCTCCCTCCGCACCATCCTTCCTTCCCTACCATCCTCTGGGCTTTGGCAGCCTCACTGCGGAAGGTGCTAGACTCCCGGCGGGCGAGGTCCTGGGAGAAGTGGCGATTGAGCACCCGGAGGCTGCCGGCGTACACCTGGCTGACCGTCCCCTCGGCCCTGTACCCTGTCCCGGAAGGAAGTTCAGGGTGACCAGGGAGCGGACGGGAGGCTCCCGCCACTCGCTCCTCCTACCACCCAGGCCCTCAGCATCATCCTCGCCGCCACCACCACCACCACCACCACCACCACCACCAGCGGCGGCCTGCTCCCTGGTGGTCGACTCTCTCCCCATGGCCCTTCAGAGTCTGATTACAAACCGGCTCCAAGGTGGCCCCCACATGGTGACCCCGGGGCACCCAGTGAGAGGCTGACATAGTGAGCGACCCAGGGCACGGAAGCCACCCAAGCCAGGACACCCACACAGGCCTGGAAAGTCAGGGTCATAGGTTGGCCCCTCTAGGCACCAGGCTGTCCAAGTGCCCCATGTAACATGCACTGGAAACCTCACAGGGGACAGTGCCAGATAAGACAGGTGTTACTCCAGCAATCACACCACATAAGGGATCTGTCTGTTGGGAATGACATCAAGAAGCACAAGGAGCTACTGAAGGACGTGACACAGGAAACAGGCCTGGACACAGTGACCTCCAGCCGGCAAGTGAGAACTGGGAGAATCTAGATCGGAAAGAGAGATGGGGAGGGGAGTGATGGGCTTACAGCATGTGCAAAGGCCCTGAGGCCGAGGGATTGTGATAAGGACCAGGACTAAGAGCTGGCGAGACTGAGACTGGAGCAGTTAGAGAAGGGAAGGAGCAGCAAGAGGGTAGGTTGTGCTGGACCCAAGCTGGAGTCCTGACAGAGGAGCAAAGGAAACCATGGAAGGTTTGAGTCAGAGATGATGCCACCAGCTTTCCATTTTACAAAGACTATTTCAGGGCCAGGGATTTAGCTCAGCGGTTTGGTGGCCTGCCTCGCAAGCACAAGGACCCGAGTTCCATCCCGGGTACCAAAAAAAAAAAAAGACTATTTCAGCTGATGTAAAGAGCACAGATTCAGATCAGGTGTGGTGCGTACAGGTAATCAAGATAATCACCGTGAGTTCAAAGCCAGCCTGAACTACTTGGCAAGACTCTGTCTCAAAAAAAAAAAAATTCCATAAATATTTACTGAGAACCTGTAATGTGCATAAACGGGTCTGAAGTGCTTGGGAATATATCCATCTATCGATGAACAAAGCGAAAAGGAAACACTCAGACCTTAAGAGCTTGTCTCCTACCAAGAAAGAAAATAAACAACAGAGCACCAAGGTATGCGTCAGCGGGGACAAGGGCGTGAAATCAGGGGCTGGGAGTGGGCGGCAGCACGGAGGCCGGGAAGCAGGAGGTGGCGTCTGGTGTTGGATGTGGTCGGGGCAGCAAAGAGAGACGGAACGGAAGGAGAGCAGCCTGTAGCCGAGGAGAAGGCAGTGCACAGTGGTCCAAGGCCTTGAGCAGAGGTTTTCCGGACGAAGGCAGCAGCTCTGGCTCCGTGCAGAGCTGGGCACCAGAGGTAGCCGCGTGTAGCAATGGCGACCGTGACAATGGCTGTTGGAGTTGGGTGGGCTAGGGGTGGGCTGTAAAGGGTGCAGAGAAACAGGGAGACGTTGGCAGGGGCACACAGACCGAGCTGCTGCAGGACAGAGGGGCTCCCTGATGGAGCTCCGCCATTATATGGGCGAGGGAGTGGGCCTAGAGCCTGGGGGTAGGGTGGAGGGTCCCATAGTGCAGCAGGACGCAGGGATGGTGGACTCGCCTGAGCGGTTGGTTTTCTCACAGGGTAGGTGGGCAGAGCAGGGCTGGAGGAGCGAGAAGAAAATATTAAATCCCCTGAGAGGGTAGGAGAGGGCAGGACCAAGGAGACACAGTCAGTTCTGTGCTGGCCCACGTGCCCTTCCTGAGGGGCACGGCGAATCTCCGACCCAGTGCCCAGTACGTGCAACCAATCCCGCCTGGCAAGGAGGAGCTGCCCAAGAGCACCCCGGTGCCTCCTTCGCCCTTCACCCCTCCAGGATGGCTTTACCCAGGTGAGTCTGGGGACCCCCTCCCAGAGCTGCAGAGAAAGACAGTTGGCAGATCCTGTGGCCCAGTGCTCTGGAGTTTACCCTGAAGACTAATTACCCTGCGACCTGAAGAGGCCTCCGCGCCCGTGCTATTTGGGGTGCTGGCTTCCTGCCAGTGGTCAAGTGCACACAGCATCCGTTCCCGGCAGAGTTGCCTGCTCTGAGCAGCGTCCGTGAGTCACTGCGAGTGCTCAGACCCGGGAATTCCAGCCCCGTTACCCCGGGTTTCAGGTCCCCCTTCTGAGCAGCTCCAAAGTGGGCCCCTCAGGTCATTCCAAAGGGCCTGAAGTTCCACTGTGAGGCTTAGTACTAAGAACACTGTGCAGTCAGGTGCAGGGGATCGTACCTGCAGTCTCAGCCACTCAGGAAGCTGAGGCAGGAGAATTTTGAACCCAGCCTGGGTAACTTAGTGACACCCTGCCTCAAAGGTAAAAAAATAAAAGACTGGGGATGGAGCTCAGTGCTAGAGCTCCTCTAGGTTCAACCCCCAGTACTGAAAAAAAATGAATCCACTAAGTTGAAAACATATAAACAGGTAGGCTGAACATGGTGATATACACCTATACTCCAAGGTACAGTACTCGGGAGGCTGAGGCAAGAGGATCACAAGTCTGAGGCCAACCTGGGTAACTGAGTGAGATCGTGTCTCAAAATAAAAATTTTAAAAGATCTGTGGATGTAGCTCAATGGTAGAGTGTCTACCTAGCGTGTTTGAGGACCTAGGTTCAATCCCACCACCACCACCACCCCAACAACAGGCCCTATCTGACCTTTTCGGGCTGTTAGCGGGAAGCTCTAATCACCGAGGCAGACTGGGTTGTCCCTTCTGTGGCTTCCTCTCTCCTGGCGTGGGCAGGCTGTGTTATAACCACTGCGTGTGTCCCCAGAACCTAGCACAGCCCGTGCAGGGAAGGTGCCCAGCACCGGGCCAAGGAAGGGATGAAGTCTGAGAATACGCAGGGAGGTTCAGTCTGGCGCACGGTGCTCAGTTCTTTTTCCAGCCTGTCCTAAGAGCCGGAGGGAGAGGCGTCTCCAAGTTTTAGGGAAACCTCCAGTAGACGTCCAAAGCATCTGAGTAATGACCATGTGGGGTTCGGGTTCACCGGCCCAGCTGCCCCAGGGGCCAACACAGGGCCGCGCCATCCGGGAGGGAGGGCCATGCCACAGACCCAGCAGAGGTCCCGCCTGGCTCCTCTCCTCCCCTCCCATTCACAAGGGGCCCTGGAGGCCCAGAGCTGCCCGAGAGCACCAGGCTGAGTGAGCAGAGGCACTAATTGGTGACAGGCACCGCCCAAGCCCTGGGCATATCCAGGCTGGTTCCGAGAGTCATGAGCTCACACTCGGCAGCTGGCTGGAGCTGAGAGCTGGGCACTGCCGCAGAGGCCCAGCAGCATGCCCACCTCAGGCTGCGGAGGAGGCCAGCGAGGGGGGCACCTTGTCAAAGCCGCACAGGGAGTGGCCAGGCATCTCGAGCCTGGGATCCTGCTCTTCCCCCCCATGGTCCTGCCTTCTCCCCTGAGCCTCTCCCTAACCCTTACCTAGGAAATACCAGAGCATCACCCCCGCCGAAGCCAGCACCACCAGGGCCAGCAACAGGGGCGCCAGGCGCATGTAGTCTCGGGCTTTCCTCTTGGAGGCCTTGAACATCCCCTCGGGCTCTGCTTCCTCACCGTCGCCGCCATCGCCCTGCCCGCCAGCGACCTGGGGGGCCTCGGCCGTGGGCATCCTGAGGGGAAACAGAGCACAGCTGGAAACAGCCTGACATTCGCAGGGAGCCTCGGCCGATCCCCGCGGGAGGGTGACGACCGCAGGTAGCTGTGCTGCCAGAGGTAGGTGCTGAGCCGGCTCGCAGTGACAGTGAGGGTGAGTGGGCCAGAGCAGCCCCAGAGAGCAGCAGCTGGGCTGGCTCCTGGGTTGGGCTCACTTTGCACAGCTGCCGCCCTCCGCAGAGGACTGGAGGTGCTGGCTCCTGGCCACCCGGAGGCGAGGCCCCAGACTGAAGCCGGGCACTGGCTGGGGATCTATCCTGTCACCCACGGCTTCCCTGCAAAGCTGATGCCCCAGCCGAGCCAGAGCTGCACTGGAGGGGCCCTGTACCTTCCCGGCGTCCGGTCCCCAAGGTCTCCTGACCCTCCGGGAGCCTCTGGGGCCCGAGGAAGGGAGCACAGTTAATACTCCCTCGGTGCCCTCGGGTGACAACTCCTTAGCATTTAACCCTCACTTTGTCACCAGAGTTGTGGGCCCATTGTCCCCATGCCATCTTCTCATCCCACTCTGCATGGGACCTTCTCACACCTTCTCTCACTTAAATCTCCGATCAGCTCTCCCACCCTCCATCAGACAGACGAAGAAACTGAGGGCATTCTAGCAACAGCTCAGTCCGGGGCTTTCCGAGCTTCTTTTTCCCAATGTGATTTCAATATCTGGCAGATAAAAAGAGCCAAAGCCCAGAGAGGTTAAGCCTCCTGCCCAAAATCACACAGCAGGTGAGTGAGGACTGAGTCCAGGTGTCTGTCTCTCTGCTCTTTCCCAGACTCAGGGATGCCTCCTATCAATGAGCTGTTAGCTAACAAACCATGATTCAGTAGCATCTGAATGTCACCCTTCTTAGTGCTCCAGTCTGGTGCTTTATTTTCAGACTCACCCAAGCAAACTTTGCAGCGTCCGGCCTCTCGGGCACATTCTCCACAGGACAGAGAAGCCCTTTGCGCTCACCCACAGGACGAATATTCCAGACCTGAAGGCGTCCATTGCCTCTGACCCGTCATTGCCACTGCAGCTTTAAAATTCACCTGGGTTCAAGCCCTCCCACCTGGCCCCCTGGCTCGCATCCGGCTGGCTCCCTGGCCCCTTCACCCCTCCTCCAGTTGGCACCTGCCCTCCAAAGCATGGCCAAGATCTTCAGTGTCCAGCTGCTGCCCACCTTCTCTCGGAACTTACCATCTGTCGCGCATCACCCTTGGGGCCCATGTCACCCTGCCTGGACCTCGGGGCCTCTTCCCAGGCCAGGCCAGTCATGGGTTCCAGGGCTCTGGGACCCCTCTTCCCCTGGGCAGCCTTTGATCAGATGAACAGTGTGCCTGGCACTGGGTCCCATCTCTGTCCTCCTTTAAAAGGCTGACCCTGTGGCTGGCCACTTCTGGAGTCCCTTGGGCACTCAGCATGAGCGGCGGAGGACAGGAGGAACACTGAGAGCAGCCAGGGCTCGGCAGTGCTTTCTCCTGCATTCGCTGCCTCTGGAAAGTGGGACTTGGGTGGTGTCCTGACCCCCGGAGACCCAGATTCCAGGGCAGAGTCACCCTGCTTTTGCTGAGCACCCATATGGATCCAGGCTTGTGCAGGGGTGAGCAGAAACCTCTTCCCATCCTCTAGAGGGTCCCACCCAGCAGAAGAGAAGGCGATGGCCACACCATCTCATCTCCCTTATTATTCAACAAGCACCTCTCCTGTTGTTCCCAGGGTCCAGCAGGTCCCACCTTCCAAATGCCCCCAGAACCCACATCTCCCACTGTTACCCACGCCACATCGCCCGTCCCCTGGACTCCTGTGACAGTCAGTCCCCTGCAGCAGCGAATCCCCACACGGCCACCAGAGCAATGTCTTCGCCCTGTGCCGGCTTGCGAGGCCCACGTGGCTGCCGTGACCGTCCAAGAGGCCCCTGCTTGTCTCCGTGTCGCCTTCTTCCCTCTGCTGCAGCCATACTCAGCTCCTTGCCGGCCACCAACACACCCACCCCACAGCCTTGACACTTGTCCTTCCTCGGCTTGGGATGCTTTTTCCTCAGGTTACCTCATGACCTGAGCCTTTACCTCCCCCAAGTCTTGGCTCAGATGTCCCCCTTCCCCTCTCTGCTGAACTCCTCCTAACAGCCCTTCCCGAGAGCCACACTGCATGAAACGCTCATGGGTCACCTGTCGCCACCCACTTCTCCAGCCTCCTTCCTCCCTTGCCGACTCCCCGGGCTGTGACATTGGCCTCCAGGGAAAAGGACAGAAGCCTTGATGGACGCAGCCCTGGACAGAGTGTCACTTGGGCCTGGAGCAGTGTGAGTTCACGCTCACTGCGGAGCTCTCCGCTCGGCCCGTTCAGATGTGGCCTGTCCGCACTCAGCTGTCCCTTCAGCTCACAGTGTCCACGGTGGGCATCCTCTCTCCCCTGACCTTGAGCCCCTGGAAGGAGGGACTGTGCCCCTATTACCATGGCAACCTTCTCACCTGCTGTGAGCACTTGGGCCCCACCCCGGCACCTCCCCACCACTTCCCCCTGTCCTCCTGCCCGTGGTGGGTCCTGTCTGCCCACTGGAGGCTGCAATCCCTACCCCCAGCTGTGCAGCAGCTTCTGCCCAGGCAGTGCTGCAAACCGGGATTCATTTCCCCTCTGGAAGCCTGGCGTGTGTGCTCTGCCTCATCTATTTAATGACCGGGGAAACTAAGGTAGGTGAAATCCCTCATCCAGAGCCCACGAGGGATCCTGAGCCTGAGGAGGTCCCTGCCGTGAGCTCTTGCAGCTGTGGGTCCCTGCGTTGGGAGAGACTGGAGGGGTCCCCGCCACACACACAAATGCACTCAAACTCACACAGAGATAAAAACGGGCCGAGGGACACACACATGCCTGCTCACAACACAGACTCAAGGTGCACACCCCTGCTCACGCACACATGGACACACGTACAAGCACGCAGCCCACTCAGCCTGAGAGCCAGAGTCCTGTGCAGGACTTTAGGTCTGCCTGGCCCCCCGGACGTGGAGAGAGGCCATGCCGTGTGAGGAGGTCAGCCCGGGAGATCAGGCCTCTCCCACGCCTGGCCCTGGAATCCCAGGCCACCCGGCACCAACACTGTGCCCTTCCGGTGCCAGTACCTTCTACACAGCTAGCCCTGCCCTGCCCCCGCTCTGTCACTGGTGCCCCTGCTCACTCTCTGGCCAGTGAGGCCCACAGGCCTGGCCTCAAAGCAGGGCAGATGGCTCAAGGCCGAGAGAGCCGGTTTGGCTGTCAGAGGGGACACTGTCGCCGTGTCATTCATGGGTCCCTATCCCTGGTTCCTGAGTCCCCCGCTTACCTCCTGGAGTGGCAAGGGGGTGGCGGTCCTGCACCCCGACCTCAGGAGCCGCTGTTTGTCCAGGCCAAGGTTTCCCCACCCCCACCAGGCTGGCCTGAGCTGGATCAATGGCCCAGAGCCATGGCTGGGGTATCTGGCCCTTGTCCTCTGTGGCCTGTGGCCCCAGGCTCCATGGGCCTCCTGCCGGGTCCAGAACAGCACTGGGACTGAGTGCAGGTAAACAGGCAGGAGGCAGAGACAGAGAGTGCCCGCCCCACTCTGCCCGCCCCGCCCCGTGGGCACCCCAGAGGCTGGTGGGCAGGTGCGGGAGACCTGAGCTCTCCCCCGGGGCTGTTGCCTGGTGACAGTCCTGCCTGGTTACAGCCCCTGTCCCCAGGAGCATGAGTGTGGGGAGCTGAGGATTGGGGGCTGTATGGAGGCCTATGCAGGTAGAGCAGGAGCTGCTTACCTGGACAGGTGAGATGGCAGAGTTCCTGGTGGAGAGAGAAGGAGGTGGGGTTGTGCACTCCAGGGTTGGGAGAGGAGAAAGTGAAGGTGGGGGAAGGGTTTGTGCCCTTTTCCGTGTAGCTGGGAATTACAGTATTGGAATTATAGTACTACCTTTCACTACGGAGCCCACTGTCCATCATGGTGACCTTGGACCACGTGTGGGCCTCAAGCACTTTGGACACAGACAGCGTGAGCGGAGCCGGGCTCAGGAGTAAGATGTCCTAACATGAGCCTTGGCTGTCAACTTGATGGCCGAGAGAAGCCTAGGAGGTGAGAAAAGCACCCCTCTGGGAGTGTCAGTGTGGGCTGCGGGAGTGTGGGCCCCAGCCGCTTCTGTCTGGCTCTCTTCCTGGGCCCTCTGCTTTCTGTTGCCAGGAGGGGGCAGCTCTCTTCCTCCATGCCCTCCCTCCATGCTGTTCCTGCCCTAGACCCAGCAGCGGGTGGACTGAAACCTCAAAAGTTGTGAGCCACGTGAAACCTTTCTTCCTCCAAGTTCCTCTCAGCGACGTGGTCACAGTGATGGGAAGTTGACTGATACACACGCAGGCCAGGCTTCTAAGACTCGTTCAAGAGCAGAAATGATCTCCATAATCATCTTTATGTTGACTTCATGTTAACATGGTGACATTTCCCTAGCTTGGGTTAAGTCAAATGTATTATTAAAATTAATTTCATCTGCTTTTCCACATTTTAGTGTAAATACCAGAAAGCTTACCCTGCAGTCGTGGCTCACGTGACAGTTCTAGGGAACAGCACTGCTGCGGGGATGTGGGTCTGACCCGAGCGTGCACCAAGGCAGGCGACACAATGAGGATGTCCCGGCTCGTGCACAGCCTGACAGGCACCTGTCATGGTAAGGGGCTGACTGTCCACCTGTGTGTCCTGAGGCCAGAATGCGGTATGTGCAGCCAAAGTATGTGTGTGTGTGTGTGTGTGTGTGTGTGTGTGTGTGTGTGAGCAGCGTATGGTGGAGATGTGTGTACAATGGAGCTGTGTATGTGTACACAGGGTGAGGGTAGGGGTGTACACATTAAGACTGTGTAAAATACAAGTTGTGTAATATGTCTGTGGCATGAAGTGGGGGTGAGTGGAGCACAAAGAGAGAGAGAGAGAGAGAGTGTGTGTGTGTGTGTGTGTGTGTGTGTGTGAGCTCAGTGGGGAACACATATTTGTGGGGTCTGGGGTATGAGTATAAGGTGTAGGGTGTGCATAAGTGGGTGTGTGGAGCCTGAGATGTGTGATGTGTGTGGTGTGTGTAGAGTATGCAGTGTGTGTGGAACGTGCACTGTGTGAGAACAGGCATGCATGGTGTGGAGTGTGCAGCACGTGGGTGCTGGCCTGCAGCTGGGGAGCTGGGCTCAGATCCCTGATTCTCCACCGGCAGATGCAGGCCTCATTTGACGGCCAAGGAGAGGGACCAGGAGGCGCAGTTTTGGGGCAGCCAGTCAGGCCTGGGGCGGGACACCCCTGACCCTCGCTGACCCTCGGAGGTGTGACCCCAGCCCCAAGGCTCTTCCAGGCCACCTCCTCTCTCCCTGGGCCCTGGACTCAGTAGCTCCTGAGGGACAGGATCTTGGAACAGGAGCAAGGACGGTGTGTGAGCAGGGACAAAGACAGCCTGAGCCCTGCCTCTGTGCCCCTCCTGCCCCGGAAGTTCAGGTGGCCCAGGCCCAGGCAGGCCAGCAGCTGGACGGTCCAGATGCAGATATTTCACAATTGATGTCCTCTGTCCCTGACACCCTTCCATCAATAAGCCAGGTCTGGGGGAGGGGCTGGCCCCAGAGGACAACAGGGGACACTGCAGGAGGCACTAGACACTGGGCAAGGGCTTTCTGGGGCCACAAGAGTGACTCTGTGGTCTGGGCACCCGTGTTCCTGCTCACGTGCACACAGGGGACAAAATCTATACCTCACACCAATGCTGACCCTTAGTATGCCCAGGTCCCCAGAGTCAGACAAACCACTTGGAGGCCTGGCCCATGTGGATTGTAGGCCAGGTGACACCGCAGGATAGGGGTCAGCATGCCCACCACTCAAGTGGCAAAGATCTGGTCAGTGTCGGGAAGCCAGAAATCCCAGTCCCCCACCACCTGCTAGGGACCAGACAAGATGAATCCCCTGCCTGGGCTGCTCTCTGCGGCCTTGGAACAGGGGACAAAGCTGGGTTGTTGAGGGCAGAAAGATGTCAGGTGGCTCCGACTCCAGTCTGACTGGTTACCACGTAAAGGAGGTGACAGAGACTTGCCTGAGGGGAGAGCAGCCTGAGCGGTGGAGGTGAGGTCAGGTGGTACCAGACGCAAGGTCAGAGCAGGGTTCCTCGTGCCCACCGGAGGCTGCTGGACCCAGACATGCAGTGTGCAGAACCATCAAGACGGTGCGCTTGGTCACAGCAGGTTCAAATTTAGTATATGTGCTGCCGAAGCGAGCACTTTTTTTTTTTTTTTTTTTCTTTTTCTCAGTACCAGGGATCGAACTGAAGACTTTGTGGTTGCAAGGCAGGCGTGGTCCCGGCCCCAGTCACAGCAGGTTCAGCAAACACAGGGGGTGCTCAGAGAGTCAGCATCAAGTAAACACTGGGCACCGCCTCCTGCTTGGGTGTCTGGCGCCCTTCCTGGCTCACAGCACTCAGGACAGAGGACAGTACGGAGGGCGGCTCTGAGGAACAAGAATCCATCAGAACACAAGGCATGACAGGATGCTCCTGGGTACAACCCCTAGGGGAGACGGAGAGAGGGAGACAGAGAAGAAGCAAAGCAAAGTGTGTGTTAGTTACGTTTCTCTCATGGCTGAGACAAAACACCCAACACCCAAAGTTAGAGGGGAGGGGGTTTATTTGGCTTACAGTTGGTAGAGGTCTCAGTCCGTGATCAGCCAGCTCCAAGGCAAGGACGACAAACAGGCAGAGCAGAAATAATGTGGAGCACACGAGGCAGCGAAGGTAACAAGAGCGCTAACAGCGTCTCCCTGTCCCTTTTGTCTCATCCAGACTACTTCAGGCGGGCAGCACTCACACCCTTCATCCTAGTGCCCTTGAGCCTGGCATTGCATCATGAATCAGTGCCAGCCTCACACACTCTAGGTCAAGCCTATGCCACATGAGGCTTTGGGGGGACATCCAGACCCAAACCAGAACAGCGTGACAATAGTGTGTTGCTGGAGAATGAGATCTCAAGGAGTCCCCACATGGTGGCCTGTCTTCCCCCATCTATGCAGGGATTCAAGGTCCCTAAGGCTCTCTGGGCCTCCCGGCCAGGAGTTCCCCAACCCTCTTAGGAATCAGGCTGCACAGCAAGTGAAGGTTCGCCTGTTTTTCCAGCCATCCCCTCCTCACACCGCCACTCCTGTGGGTCAGGGGCAGCAGTAGATTCTCCTAGGAGTGCCAACCCTGCTGTGAAATGCACACGTGGGGATCTAGGCTTGGGCTCCTCTGAATCATCCCAAAACCACCACCCTCCCTGTGTGGAAAATTTGTCTGGTGCCAAAAAGGTGGGGGACCATAAAGGTTCTGGGCCGTAAGAGCCCTATGGTTCTAAGATACACCTGGCCAGACCCAGGACTGGTCTCATCTCCATTTCTCCCATTTACAGGTGAAAAGGTAGCGATCCAGGGAGCAGGGGTACTTGCTCAAGGTCTCACAACTCAGAGCCCCCTTGTCCTGGCTCTGTGTCTGCATCTCCCTCCCTCCCTGTCACCCCTCACCCCCCCGTTCTGTCCCAGCCCTGGGTCTAGCTCTGGTCTCTGTTCCAAGGCACCACCAGGGGATGCTGTAGGCCCAGGCCTGCCTGCCCTCATCCCCGGTGGTCAGGGTGGTCCAAGCCATCCAGCCCCCTCAAATCTAAGTGTTTAACTTGAACAGGGCGGTGTACACAGTAGGAGCTCAATAAATACATCAGTGAATAAGTCATGGGTGTCCAGCGGCAGGGTGGGCTGTCAGACATGTCACATTAAGTCATTCCTCTCAGCACCTTGCCTGGGATGTTAAAAGGCCACAGAGTCAGGGGTGGCAGCACACAACTACAATCCTAGTGCTCTGGAAGTGTGAGGCAGGAGCATTCCAAAATCAAGCCTCTCCTGGGCAACTTTGAAACTTAAGGAAACCCCATCTCAAAAATTAAAGATTAAAAAGAAAAAGTTAAGGCAGAAGTTGAGGGAAGACCCCGATAGGAAATCTGGTGGATGTCTTTAATCAAGGTGGGCTCCTCTTTTCTTCTCACAGAGCAGACTGCCTCAGCCTAATGGGAGCTCAGAGAGGACACAGCCCCTCAAGCTGCCTCACAGATTGGGAGACAGAGGCTCAAAGGGGCCAAGTGGGACAGGGCTGGCACAGCAATGCCCTTGACCTTGGGCTGGTGGCAACTAACTGGACTTGAAGGGTAGGAGGAAGACCCCACAGCCTTCCCTTAGCATGTGTTAGCCCTCCTAGAATGCCATCTTCAGAGAAGAGTCGCACCCCAGGCTGGGGGAGAGGAGCCCGAGGTTGGAAGGAGGAGCTAATAGGAGCTCAGCCTGCAGCGGGGTCCAGGCAGCCTCTGCCCCAAACAGCAGCTCCGAGAAGGCAGAGACCACCAGACGCTAGCCAGAGGGTCGGCTCTTCAGCTCCTGCAGCCAGTGGGCCGCGTCATCACAGCGTAGTCCCCGCGTCTGCCTCCTGCCGCCAGCTGGTCTCTGCTAGGCAGGCGCCCATGGGCCAGGCATCCTGCGGTGGGTTACAGGTGAGAAAACTGAGGCGGGGAAGCTCTGCACTTGCCAAGGTCACAGCTGGGCGGCAGCAGAGCCAGGATTTAACCCAGGCTGCCTGGCTCCAACGCGAGGGCCGTAACCAGTGCACTGCCCTGGCCCAAGGGACTGCAGGGTGTTCCATGCCCTGCACACCACCGGCCTCTTTAACTGTGCTGAGCGAGTGAATGAATAACAGAATGAATGAATGAGCTCCTGTCTCTCCGAGGACCCTCCAGCCTCCCTCCCGGGTGGGACC